TAAGTCCGTTCCGGAAAAATATCTTATTAACGGCAATATCGTCTTAACAGGGGTCTGACTGTATGTTGCGCTCCTCTACATCGCGCCGATATATGTACCGAAGGATTCCGTGTGTGGTAGCCCACTTAGATCTATCCTTGTGATCGTAAGCTTCCGGCCATTTCAATGGTTTTTCTTTGCCTAATGGCTCCCTTCGTTCTGATGGACGGCCAGGATTAGGTCTCTTTTTTTTTGAAATCAGTTAATGTGTATTCAGCTGCAAAGCTATGACACATGACCGGTGCTATGTATACATATTGGATAACTCTTTTGACGTTAGAGACACTCATACTCTGGATTTCATTCGCAAATACCACTATGAGGTATGTTCGCTTACACAAACAGTCGACCCTACTTCGTAACTACCCACCAAAGGGACGTTTCAAAACCTTTGGTTATCCAAGCATGCCTTCGTCATTCATGCATATCAGCGCCGTGAGAAAAGTGGTTGTTTTTGGCCGGATTGGAACAAGCCATCTCCTGTCTCGAGTGGGATATGTGTTCAAGCTGTCCGGACTGTACTTGGCAGACCGGCCAAGACGATGTACCACCGCACCATCCAACTATGGCGGTGTTTATAGTGTCGCCTGCACTCTCGCAACCGAAGTCTTGGCGCGCACAAAGCTCAATTCGTAAAACTTTTGCCAAAATTCAGAATTTCACGCCCTTCGAGGTTATGTCCTTCCTTTGCATCATCTTGTAAACTTGTCCCGATCCCTCCTACTTCCATCCCAAAGAACTGTCTCCTAGATTTGTGCGCCACGCTTTGCTTCCTCTTTCGGATATAAATATCGGCGTGGATGTGTATTTGGTGGTCAACTGAGGCCAGAGAAAGTCGGAGAGAGTTGTGGTCATAGGGATGAAGATGTACTAGATCGTACTTGTATACTTGATGAGGCTTAGGTAGGATTCGATCTCTTTGGGAGTGAAAATTTGACGTGGCGGAGTAGTTTGAATCATTGCCTCAAGGGCCAACTTGTTCGGTTATGCCAAATTTGACTGAACTTGGCTTTGGGAGAATATTTCACTTCCGGGTTCGTAGAGGACACCGCGTACAGGTGTTAAGTCTTGCCCTCCGTTCTTTTGTGCTTGTAACATTGCCATGTCTCTCCTGTGTTCCGTATCCCTTCGTCTTATTTCTTCAATCATTTTTTGCATGTCTGTCTGCGTTTCTTCATGTTGCATCGATTCCTGGTTTGACATACCAGTTGCAATGAAGCTCGTTCCGATTTCAAGATTGTCCATGTTGGGACCCCTCATTGGTTCTTCGAATCCCTGTACTGATTTGAATGATAATTCACTTAGGCAACTCGATCATCCAGAGCTAATTATCCCGTCTGTTGATGTTGACAGAGGAGCAAATATTGGCATCCACTTCCTTGGCAGTCCTAAGTCGATTAAGCTGCTAACCGTTCTATTCCGATAAATTGAAAATTTCCCTATTCACAATAATCTAATAAAGCGATATACTTAATACCGGGCGATATATGTGAATAATAGAGTTTATACTGTGATAGAAACCGAGTTGGTGATGAATAAATCGATTTATTAAACCCTATGAAGAGGGGAAATCTTGCTACAGCTACAAGGTACTTATAACATTCAGTCCACTCTTTAAGTCTCGTTGCTTATACCTTTTCCTTAGGTCGAATAATTACCGCACGGCTACGCATTGCCTATATCCACTGTGCTATGACATTGCTTCGATCCCAACAGTCTTATCATCAGAGACGTCAACAATGCGCTTAGGTATTCACCTAAGCTTAAACAACGGATAAACCGTAACAGTGCCTAACCGAGGCTCGGCGCCCTTCTACCTACTAAACTAGCTAGAGGTATGGACGCCAGTACTTACTGCACTGGTGGCTTCGCTCGTGAACCCACCTACTTTGGGCTACATGTTGTGGTTATGAGCTGTGAGGTATATAGCAATTATGTCTTTGCTGTCTATCGGTGGAATTACACGGGCTCATGTGCAATGGTGAGTCGCGGAGATGGCGCGCTCACGCTGTGTGATGGCACGATGGACACTGAGTGCGTATCACTGTGGCCAAATGGGAGTCAGTAGGTATCAAATGTGGAATCTTACTGACGATGGTGATCTATGAAGATGATGCTAGATGTGCATCCCGACGATTGATAATATCATCTAATGGATGATGTGAAGTATGATATTATATTGGATAGATTGATTCACTAAACTCGGCAGGTGAAGAGATTGTAGAGTACATGAACAGCGTCTGTGCACCAGCCTGTATTTTCCACCCTTTCCTAATCCAGCAGCCCATCCTCCGTTCCCCTGTCTCCTAACAACTCAACCGAGCCAGCACAACACTACAGAGCTTTATGAAACTATGCGTGCCACGTGATTTAACTCCCTCGGTCCATGTTTTAGGTTGGCTATAATACATTGTTAAAAAACTCTCGATGACCACACGAGGAATCAGCCCTCTTTTTCCAAGACAAGCTCTGCAAGGTGCCGCCCTTGCGACCCTCTTCTATTGGGCCGAGACCAGGTATTCTAAAGAGACTTCTCAAAAGATCATCTCGCAAGTCCAACGCAGGATGAACGACGCGGCTCGGGTAGCTCTCCCGAATTCGCAGTTGTCTAGCGGTTCGAGTTGCGGCAACTGCACGTACCGCCCTCTTCAGAGGCGTTGGAATACCAGTCGCATGCGCTTGATCCGCCAGAGGATTCTGTTAGAACCTTCCGATGACACCATGTTGGTATTGAAGGGTGGTGATGTATATGGTTGTATACACTTGGTATCTTCAATTAAATGGTTGTGACTACTCAGGGGGCTTAGAATATACTTGGGTGATTATGGCAATAAATTTTACGGGATGCGAATGGTATCTTATTGTGTTATTATGTTATGTTATGTTACAGGTTATCTACATGATATTTAACCAATCCCACATACTTCCAGATAGCGCCGTAGCTAGTCTCTTTTAGGAGTGATCTACTGGTGAGTGTAGCAATTGGTGGTATCTAATTTATCACTTACCTGTTTCCATTTCCCTGGCTCTGCATGCTACACTACGTAGATGACGATTTACTACTAATGTGAAAAGCGCATTCATGACAGTTGGAAATGGAGACACAGAGTTTTGTGGACGTACGGGCCCTCTGTTTTGGTTATGAGCTGTGAGTTTTATGGCAATTTTGACTCTGCTGTCCGTCGGTGGAGTGGCACGGGCTCGTGTGCAATGGTGAGTCGCGGAGATGGCGCGCTCACGCTGGGTGATGGCACGATGAACACTGAGTGCGTATCACTGTGGCCAAATGGGAGTCAGTAGGTATCAAATGTGGAATCTTACTGACGATGGTGATCTATGAAGATGATGCTAGATGTGCATACTGTTACGGGCTGTGCCCGGATTGGGACTGGTCACTAGGACCAACCCGGCTAGATCTTTAAGCGCCAACGAAGCAGCGCTTACAGAGACGCGAAAGGTCGCATAAGGATTAATGCAAGGTTGCGCATGAGGAAGGGCCCAAGGGAGTAGGTACTAAGGGGGGGAGGATGTCACAGGAAAGAGGGTAGCCGGGAAGAATGGAGTATTCTCAGGTAGGCTAGGAGGGGAGCTTAAACGCGACGCTGAGGAGGACATAAAGGACAGGAGCCGTCGTAGGCAGATTAGCTTCCTAAGGAAAAATTATCAATTCCCATTGAGTTAACGTCTTTCAAGTACTTCTGAATTCTTTAAACCCCTTACACATACCGACGATTGATAATATCATCTAATGGATGATGTGAAGTATGATATTGTTTGGATAGAAAAACTGACGAAACTGGGCAGGTGAAGAATTTGTAGAGGAGATGAACAGCGACTGAGCAAAGCTTGTATTTTCCACCCTTTCCTAACCCAGCAGCCCATCCTCCATTCCCCTGTATTATAACACCTCAACCGGGCCAGAACAACGCTTTCACAATCACCATTGAAAAATCCTTGCTAAGAATCCTCTGAATCTAATTGGATGCTTTCCGTGACGTATGTTTTACGAGATTTTCTAAACCATGCGGTGCCATCTTCGAAAGGCCTAAGGACTTGAGTAAACTTTATTTACCACTAATTATCCTGGTAAATTCCTTGAAATTATATCTCGTCGAAGGAGACTTGATAGATTCAGATATCAATAATGTTGAGTCACATCTCACTAGAACAAGTAAATGGATGAAGTCAACAACATTGGAATAGGCAGCATTTGTACCTCTGGCCACGTTAAGATTAAATTACGATACTAAGTAAGAGATATGGCTATCATTTTTGGAGCTTATTGACACGCTTGAGAAGGTAATCGAGGCCCAAGAAGAAAAGTTAGACAACCTGGGAGCCAAATCGATGTTCAGGCGGACCGGGATAACACGCGAATGGACGGAACAAACCATATTTCCGCTGAAAATAATGCTTCGTAGTGAGCTGTACGGGTCGGTTTTCATTACCTTTTATTGTTGGAAATGGAGACACAGAGTGTTGTGGACGTACGGGCCCTCCGTTTCGTCTCGGATCCCGACACGATCTTGTGTGTATTTAAGAGTTTGGAATGGGTAATATGGTAGCGCTTCAGGCTACCTAATGGAGACATGAGTAGCTGTATGGCATGGGCACAAGGAGGCTTTTCGGGGTTTGTCTATACCTAGAAGGCGCCACACCCATTTATGCTGTGCCTTAGGCCATGTGTCGCTTAGACATGTACTTATAGCGCACACTTCCCACATCTTTAGTTCTAATCCGAACATGACACTCTTTTAGTCAACTTTTACTTTCGTTCCATAAACATTGCGCCCATTTCATTGCGCGATATTTCCAACATTTATGGATTTTGCAGTAAATATTTCACACAAAAATCATGGACAAATAACTGTATCGAACTGGCAAAAGAATATGTGAAACGCTCCAGGGAAGATGATTTGAAATTTGCAACAGATCTAGACGAAATTCTTGTTCGGGAATGGATGAAGAATGTGGAAAACAAAATTTTCCATTCGTCTAAAGAATCTTCGGAAACATCGACAGAATCATCTTACTCTCTGCCGGCCCAGGCTGTACCTCTTTTGAAAGGTACTCAACATCGTATGAACCAAGCAGGCACAATCGATGGTGCACAATCAGATAGACAAGTTGATTACTACATCACGCGGCGAGATGTTTCGACTTCATCTCATGACTGGTGCGATATTCTCGTGATTGGAGAGTTAACAAAGTCCTCACCAGATGAATTTATGCGAAAGTATCTACAGCTTTCTGCGCTAATGCGGGAAGTGTTTTTCGCACAGCCACTTCGACAGTTTGTGCACGGGTTTATCCTCTTTGACAAGTCTCTTCTGCTCTGGGTATACGATCGATCAGGGTCGTACTGTAGTTCACTTATCGACATTGGCCAATCACCGCAGACGCTTGTGTATGTGATGGCAGCGTACATGTCAATGAGCGATGCAGAACTTGGGATTGACCCAAACATTAAGTACGAAGCCCATCAAACTACGGTTACGCTAGATGTTCCGGGACCAGAGAAGACGCGCGAGCTTAGACTTTTTCTAGAACCAGTGGCACAGCCGACGACACTTGTGACCAGGGGAACCAGCTGTTACCGGGATCTAGATGGGGGGTATATAGTGAAGTTCTCTTGGAGAATGTGCGGAGATGACTCGGAGGCAAAGCTGCACGAACATGTGAAAGACGTGGATGGCGCGACTCAGTAAAAAATAGCCGACTTCGAGAAGGGCTGATATTCACTCAGACAATGGTGAAAGATACGCGTCCAAATGACAAAGCCATGGCCACTCCACTTGAGTTCACTGATGGTTTTATGTCAGATCAAAAGAAAAGCACCAGCAAGACCACGAAGCGTAAGATAAGGGGCGAGGTGAAAGAAGCCGGGACTGAATATGGACGGTCGAGTAAAAGGGCAAGATCCTCAGCTGGATGTGAGCCAATCCGTCATCGACATCTTGCAAAATATTTACTAACAGTATGAAAGCATCAGTCATGGCAGAAAGAGTCACGGAAAATAGACCATCTGTATCGTTGAATGTCATCATCGAAGAATATGTGTCTTGTGTTCCAGGCGATAAAAGCACAAACATTGCCGAAATCTCTATTGGAGGAGATAGGCAGTCTACTGGGGAGAAACGGAAGAACGTGGAGAGCGACGAAGTCAACGGTCGGATCAAGAGGCTTAAACTTTCAAGCAATGAAGACAATGGACCAACTAACAACCATTCCGGCACCAGCAACCTTCCCGACATAGAAAAAGTCATTGGAATCTCGCCCTTCACTTTCGGAAGTGACCATTTGAATGTCACACACGATATTATTGGGCCCGAACTCAAGGTCAAGGTCAGGGTTGCAGGGATCCGAGATCGTCAGTCATCGGGCTGCGTGAGGCAATCAAGGCGCATAGGTCACTACTCAAAGATGCCATGACATTGTACCAGGATGTCTCGGAAAATAAAATTATCTTGACAGGATCCGATTTTGGCAAGGACTGGAGGGGATTCTTGATCGATCTAGACCTGGCTGTATTGCTGTCCGATGACAAAGCCCAGAGAAAGACCCAGACAATGACTGGGACTATGGAGTTTATGGCAGTAGAACTTCTTAGTGGGAGTTGTGAAAAAACAGGCGCCATAGTGAATCATTCATATCGCCATGACTTGGAGTCGTTTTTTTATGTTCTGTTATGGCTAAGCACGAGTCGCGGATGGGAAAAGGGAAAAGAACAGAACCGAGATTACCTTTCGAAATGGTTCAAAGGGACTGCGAAAGAGATCTTTGAATTTAAGAATTCTCAAATGAAAGAATCAAATATCGAAGAAGATGTATTGAGCAAGTTCTCGCCGAAATTTTATGGATTGAGGAGGCTAGCAAAGGAGTTCTGGAGGATAATATTTCTCACAAACGGAACATTTTTTACAGGATCCTACAAGGATAATAACGCTTTGAACAAAAAAGATACCATTTTTGCCAGAAAGCTACGCATCCTTCGACGCTGCCCGTATCATCAATTTGACATCGTAACTATCAATCTTTATCTTCATTGCCTTACTTCCAAATCTCCATTTTTCTTGCTCCAACCTGGCGAGTGTGGGTAAATCCAGCGGTTTGGACGTGTCGCAAAATGCTATAATGGCTTCAAGAAACAACGGCAGCGTAGCGCAGAAAGCTCCAAAGGATAGAAACCATGAAATCCTAGGGAAACTACTTAAACAGGTTAGACTTATCGTGATGGGAGAGATGGATGAGGAGGACCCACCGTCTATGGTGGATGTTAACGAAGCCGTGAAGGCAATCAATGCTAAAAAACGGGCCTGGAATGAAATGACCCAGAAGACGTCTTCAATCGAGGAGAATATGATGGCGATAGAGGAAATCGTGAAGAAAAGACTCGCGGGTCCAGCTCGGAAAGCTGCTCTAGCAGTGGTTTCGGGCGCGCCACCGCCGAGGAGTTACGCGTCGGTCGTGGCTCCGCAAATTACGAATACAACGGTGCGGACAAGAATCGATGGCACCTAAAACTTGCAGCCACAAGCACTGCTATCCAAGGCACAACAACACATGCAAGGCGCATTTGCAATTCGGCAGACGCGAAGCAACGACACCGAGGTGTTTCTCCATTCGACGTCCCAGAGAGAAGCGGCGCTTAACATACGACAACCAGCGGAATTTAAAATGTTGCGTTGAGACTTCCCAGTCGAAGTTTCCGGAGTCCCACTGCGGAAAAGAATTGAAGTTGGTAGAGATGCTAACAGCTACGCCATCATCAGGTAGATTGAGACGGCGACGAAGGCACGAATTCCAGGCCTAGTAATAAGTAGAATACGATGGCTCCATGATGGAAAGGAACATTGGCGATCGAAGACAAACGGTCGCAATCGCGGAACAATTGTGGTCAGCCTCCCATCGGAGGCAATGCAAACGGAGGTAGTTCGAAAGGGCCTTGTAATTAACGTCATGCTCTTCACTGCGCAGGTGTGGTCACCACGGGCCCAGCCAAAGCAGTGTTATAACCGCAGCCAGTGAGGACACACCCAGGTGTCGTGTAGAAAGGCAGCTAGGTGCGGTGAGTGCGCTGGCGCCCACAAAACTTGGGACTGTCTGAAGGAAAGGATTTCTTGTGCGAACTGTGGCAAGGAACACCGTTCATAGCAAAAAGCAGTGTTTCGGACCTACCAAGTATACAAGGGAAGTGTGGAGAAGGCTCGGACGGAGCTGCTATCGAGAATGACGAAAATATGGAATGAAAACCCAACAATGGCGCCGATGCGAATAGTCGGAACGACTGATGATCAGGGATTCACTTTGGCCACCATTAAGAAGGGTGAAGGACTGAAAAGAGGGCCGGGACGACCACGTAAGGTAGTCGAAGCCCCAGTGGTACCAACCATCCCCGCCACAATAGCACCACCACCATCGAGGCCAACTCTTCGAACACTTCGAAGACCAACGCCGAGCGAAGAGGTGCCTCCTCTACTAAATTTTTCATAACGTTAGTCTGATCGAAGGGGGAGTTAATGAATTTCGAGGAAAGCTCATAAATTTGTGGTTGAAAGGAACGTCCTCAGCATTAAGCCGGGTCAGTTTAGAGGAGCAGGACATCGGGTTTTTTTGAAAGCTTTTTCCCATACCAAAGTGGCTTACCGTCTTCATAGATCTGTAAATAGATACCGCGCAGGATGTTAAACTAGAGAAATGAGCGAAGGCGTTGTATAACCTTACCATCGCGGCATTTGAAGATACTTTTCAGATATTGGTAGGTTAAGTGAAAATATTTCAGATATTCTCTTTATTTAGGTACGTGCGAACAGGATGGGTTATGAAAATCAGTTGAGGTGCACAAATAAATATAATTAATAAAAACGGTCGTCGTTACATTATTCGAATTACTTAGCAAGTAGAAAGTTGGAAGAATGCAGAAAAGCTATTCAAATTAGGATCTTTTACTTTCCGATCATATCAGCATTTTAAAAACTTGAATCTTGTAAGCGATATCCTCACCGGTCCAAGCTACATATTGCCAAAATCCAAAATGAATTACTGAAATTTGATAGAGTTACGTTTTCAAGCAAATTCGGTAGTGGAATATTGTATTTTATAGTCGCTATTGTTGAAAATGTTGAAAATGTTGAGCACAGAGTTAACGAAAGAGAAGATTATCAACAGCTGTTGATAAATTTTCTTGCGGGGTTTTCTTTAATTTCTGCAACAGATATACTTTTTTGATCCTACTAAGCTCGGTAATAAGTCGCCATGATAGATTGGTTTTTGGCGAGGAGATTGCCTATATCCTGTACTAATGCTGTTTACTACCGTTAATGGGAGATGTTATATAGGCTATCTATTGGGATGAGAAGGAGTCTGGTACCTGTGTTTTTTTTTTACATCAGATTTTAATGGCGTATGCAGCTATCTAGCTATGACACAATATCAAAGAAAAGTACAGAATAGATGATTCATCGTAAGGGAAGAGCACTCATGCCTCGGATTTCATTTGCAAGTACCACTGCGAAGTTATGGTGACTTTTTCTTCAACCCAAGTCAACCCTCATCCGTGAATACCCATCCAGGGGAACGTCTCAAAATTCCTGAGTTATTTAGACATGCCTCCATCATCTTTCAACTTTTCTCCGCGCGAAATGTGGTCTGAGGCTTCTCCTTCCCAAGTGGAGTAGGTGCCCAGGCTACTCAGACTATAGGTACCTGTGTTTAGGAGTGAAATGGAAAATTTATCCTTTATTCCCCTCGATGGCATCAGCATCTTCGGCCAACAACTTCCAAGAACGAAGTAGTAGGTTTTATTTTTTATTGGGACGGTTTTAAATGTTCTCCAGGTAATCTTCGGAAATATACTACTATTTTGAGAGGGCCGCACAGCTACCTACGCAATCAATTGCTTGATCTTAGTCTTCAACTATAGGGTTGATGAGAATAGGATAGCGTGTGGGAATTCCAGGAAAAAAAGACAATTATCGAGCGGTGAAAGGCTGGCACAGACTCTAATCATAAGATTCGAACCCGAATAGAAATGTTTGTCAAAAAACTGATAGTTTGGAACCTACTGAATCCAATAATGAGAATCACTGGGTATGGGGATGACACATTTTCTCGGATTAACTCTGCCGAGCTTTGATATCTCACCAAGGATGTGTTGATCAGGATGTTCAAAGCTCCAATTTCAGATCGTTTGATCTCTAACACATGTAATTTAGCTCATTGTGTAACTTTGGGAAACCAAAAGAAGAAAATCTCTGTCAGGAAAAGTTTTAGATGGGTTTATAGAACCAAGGCCGGAGAGGAGTTGAGAAGCAGAGATTTCACCAATTTACTTTTACTTTACATTCTTCATTTTGCTCTCATTATCTAACAATACCTCTCATCAAAACATTGTCATAGAAGAGAAGCCACCCAATAAGTTTCTGAAGCGTACCCAGCACCTGTTACGGAGATGTTGGATTGGATCAAGTTGGCCTCGAATGTTACAAGGAGGATATAGATGAATATGTGCACCTCATGTGGTCCTGGTGTCTAGGCCTCGTCTGGTCCCGGCTGCAGGATTTTTGAGACTTTTTCCCGCTCACGGAGTTTCCAATGCTACCTTTTTTTTTGGGTAGAAGGTTCGTGGAAAAGGTAGTCGAATTTCATGGTTAAACACTGGGTTGAATAGCTATTCATCACGGGCAGAATATCAATAATTTTCAAGAAAGAAAAGAGGATACGAGCAATGTACAAGGTGTGGCCTGGGTCAGAGAGGAACTCAATGTGCTAGAGAGTCTACGAGTCAAGAGGCACAATAAACATACCTCTCTCTCATCAAAATAGATTCGGGCCTGGAGGGCAAGACTGAATACCTGTACGCGGTGTCCTCTACGAACCTGGGATTGAAATATTCTCCCAGAGCCAAGTTCAGTCAAATTTCGCAATATCAAACAAGTTGGCCCACGAGGCAAAAAATCAAATTACTCCACCATGTCAATCTTTCACTCCCAAAGAGTCCGATTCTCAACTAAGCTTCATCAAGTCTACAAGTACGACATGGTACATCCTTGTTTCAATGACCACACCTCTCGTCGACTTTCTCTGGCCTCAGCCGGTCACCAAATACACGCCCACGCCGATATTCATACCCGACGGAGGAAGCAAAGCGTGGCGCACAAATCTGGGAGACAGTTCTTTGGGATGGGCGTGAGAGGGATCGGGGCAAGTTGAAAAGATGATGCATAGGAAGCATATAACCTCGAAGGGCGTGAGATTCCGAATTTTGGCAAGGAGTTTTACAGATTGAGCTTTCTGCGCGCCGAGACTTCGCTTGCGAGAGTGCAGCTTACTCTATAAAAACAAGCAAACGATGGAAGGTGTTGTGGTCTGCCTCTTGGTGGTGTTCTCTGGTATAGTTTGAGTAGTCTGGGCACCTGCTCCACTTGGGAAGGAGACATCCCAGATTACATTTCGCGCGGAGAAACGTTGATGGATGACGGAGGCATGTCTGGATAACTCAGGGTTTTTGAGACGTTCCCCTGAGTGGGTATTCACGGATGAGGGTTGACTTGGGGTGAAGAAAAAGCCACCATAACTTCGCAGTGGTACTTGCAAATGAAATCTGAGGCATGAGTGCTCCTCTTGTAAATTGAGTCATCTTTTCCGTACTTTTCTTTGATATTGTATCATAGCTAGATAGCTGCATACGCAATTAAAATCTGATGCAAAAAAAAAAAGATTCGGGCCTGAAATGGTCTCCAAATATACACCCTCAACGATATTCACAGCCGCCGGAGAAAACGAATCGTAGCACACAAATCTGGGAAACAGATATTCTGGATGGACGTAAGAGGTTTTAGGACAGATAGGCAAGGTGATGCAAACTGATGCAAAAAATAAAAATAAAAGGTGATGCAAACGGTGGGTACAATCTTGGAAGGGCTTATATTTCGATTTTCGTACAAAAGTTTTTCAAATTTAGCATTTTGCGCTGCACGACTTCGATTGCAAGAGCGCAGGCAAGACTATAGACACCGCCATGGCTGGATGGTGCGGTGGTACATCGTCTTGGCTGGTCTGCCAAGTAGAGTCTGGATAGCTTGGATACATATCCCACTTGAAACAGGAGATGGCTTGTTCCAATACGGCAAAGCACAACTACATCTCTCGCGGTGCAAGTTTTTCATTTATGACGAAGGCATTAGGTTGGATGGTGCAGTGGTACACCATTCGGGCCGTTCTCCCAAGTAGATACTGGGTAGCTTAAACACCTACCCCATTCGAGACAGGAAAAAGCCGGTTCGAACCCAGTAAAACCCACACGCCACTCTCTCACGCGGTGATATTGAATTTGTGGGATGACGAAAGCACACTCGGATAGCCACAGGGTTTTCACGCTTTTCCCTGTGGTGGGTATGCACGGAAGAGGTTATACGCCGTAAGGGTTAATCTCGAGTGGTATCTGCAAATGAAATCTGAGTGTGAGTGTTCTAAATGTCAAGCGGAGTCATCCTACTTGAAGTACATATCTTCCGATAAAAACCTGCATGGGCCTCAAGGCGCCAAATCAGGATAATGAATTATATATATGACGAAGGCATGCCCAGATAATCTACGGTTTTGAATTTTCCTATGGTGGGTACTCACGTAGGAGGGTCGACTGTTTGTGTAAGCAAATTGTGACGAAAGCAAGCTGGTTGTAGTGTACTTTTAGAAATATTAAACTATATGAAGAGAGAAGTAACACGACTACGGGTAATGACAATTTGTAAATTCTTCTAGCTCATCTAGTACGTACTCCGTTGGTGAGTATGATATATAGCTCCACCACTGCCCGTCGTTATCTTTGCCATATAGCTTGACTCTCTCACTCGGCAATTGTACCTCGCCGTCTCACATTCCTTCCTAGCTCCAATCTAATGTGGCCGAGGGAAACTTAGTCGCTTGATACGAGATAACATGGAACACTCTCCCTAATGCGCCCCCCATACTCTGCTTATGTCTCTACCTATGCTAAACTACAGTCAAACCGTAACACAAGTATACCTAATTGAGATATTTGCGAATGAAATCCAGAGCAGGAGTATCTCTACAGTCAAAAGAGGCATCCAACATGTTTACCTAGGACCTATCATGTGTCATAGCTAGAAAGTTTGAAACCAACCTCCAAAGTAATAGACTTAGAAGGGATTTAAATTAAATTCCATTCTAGTTTGATTTTGATTTCATTGACCTGATTTGGCGCCTTGTAAACCCATGCAGGTGGTGTTATGCTCAGCTATGTAGTATGGTAGATCTAGTAGCTGGTGCATAGGTAGTTATTATAGTGCATAAAGGAGATCCAGTCTCTACATAACTACACTACACGTAGTAAGGTGTGCAGTACGAGAGAGGGATTGTTGATATAGGACAAATGGCATGGCTGCCCATTTGGGAGTTCACATTGGTGAGCTGCGTACTGGTTACGTGATCGGTCTACAAGCGAACAAGCTAGGAGATGAGGGACGAGCTTCCCCCAACCTATAACATAACAATTATTAAAGTAACTTGAATTCTACACAGTAATGAAGATATCTGTTCACAAACTATCTTAGCTGTTTCACCGCAAGTGTACATTCCCAAATCATATACCAATCATAATAGGTAGCTATAAACCTATCTATATATTTACAAAGGAGGAGACCTGTAGTAACCCCCCCCAGGCATTTCTGTTTGTTGACTGTTGTCACATCTGGAATTGCTCAATCCAACTATGATTTAGGATCCACTGTATTATCCCCTTGATGTCTCTATAATTGTTTATCATAGCTTCGTAGGACCGATCTTTGGCCTTTCTCCGGATCTCAGCTCTATCATTTGACCATCGAGGACAGGACATAATCATGTGCTTGGCGTTCTGCGATTGGTAGCTACATGGACAGCTTGGAATGTAGACCCCAGGTACTTTTCTTCCCTGTTAATACGAGTTGAGCCCCATGTGCTCACCGCAAATTTGTTCTGCCAGACTACTTTGGGTCCTTATTAGGTTGCGATTTAAAAATAAAGGTAAGTCTTATGAGTCAGTTTTTGCTGTCCAGATTTTCTGCCTTGGTAAAATTTGGCCGCTCTCCAACTTTCGGGATCTGCAGTTATTAGTATCTGAGGCCTCCGAGGTTCGTTTCTGGTCGGCCCAGGATTTCGCGCGCTCTTTATATGCCATAACTTTCAACAGCTCTGTGTGTCTTCTAGGTTTGGGTGTTCACCGCACATTTCTGTCCAGCAGGCAAGATCTATACTCCTGTTGATTATTCGTATATCTTCTATCCCTTTTTAAGGCAGCTTGATATTACTACGAGCGGACTAGATTGTCTTCTGGTCAGAGAAGTCCTTTAAGCGACCTAAATATTGGATCCTTTTTTGCCTCAAGAATATTTCAATGGAAAGGGTAGCCGGTTCTTTTCTTTTTTTTTGCATCAAATTTTAATTGCGTATGCAGCTATCTAGCTATGATACAATATCAAAGAAAAGTACGGAAAAGATGACTCAATTTACAAGAGGAGCACTCATGCCTCAGATTTCATTTGCAAGTACCACTGCGAAGTTATGGTGGCTTTTTCTTCACCCCAAGTCAACCCTCATCCGTGAATACCCACCCAGGGGAACGTCTCAAAAACCCTGAGTTATCCAGACATGCCTCCGTCATCCATCAACGTTTCTCCGCGCGAAATGTAATCTGGGATGTCTCCTTCCCAAGTGGAGCAGGTGCTCAGACTACTCAAACCATACAAGAGAACACCACCAGGAGGCGGACCACAGCACCTTTCATCGTTGGCTCGTTTTTATAGTGTCAGCTGCACTCTCACAAGCGAAGTCTTGGCGCGCACAAAGCTCAATTCGTAAAACTCCTTGCCAAAATTCGGAGTCTCACGCCCTTCGAGGTTATATCCTTCCTTTGCATCATCTTTTCAACTTGCCCTGATCCCTCTCACGCCCATCCCAAAGAACTGTCTCCCAGATTTGTGCGCCACGCTTTGCTTCCTCCGTCGGGTATAAATATCGGCGTGGGCGTGTATTTGGTGACCAGCTGAGGCCAGAAAAAGTCGACGAGAGGTGTGGTCATTGGGATGAGGATGTACTTGGCCGTACTTGTAGGCTTGATGAGACTTGTGTAGGCGTCAAACTCTTTGGGAGCGAAAAAACGACTTGGTAGAATAACTTGAAATTTTTTCTCGTGGGCCAACTTCTTTGATATTGCGGAATTTGACTGAACTTGGCCTTGGGAGAATATTTCACTCCCAGGTTCGTAGAGGACACCGCGTACAGGTGTTCAGTCTTGTCCTCCGGGTAGCCGTTTCGTCCAATAGCACGAGAGTGCTAGAGGACTTATATGCTCCTTTGACAATTTCAGGTAATTCCTTAGTATACTTTTGTTCTATTCTAGTTGAATATACAATAAATCATGTAATCAAATTATATTTTAACAGGGGTAACCCGGACAAATATTAGCGCATAATTAAATTTTCCTCACCGGCTGGAGAGCATCTGTCACATTAAAGATCCGGATCGACCATAAATGTTATCCTCATTGAACTAATCCAATTTACTTATGTGGGGATCCTATCTTCACGCTACATTACTTTGATACAGAACTGACGTTGATTAGGATACCCTTCAGACCGGAAGCAACTACTCTCTGATCCACTAAATTGCTACAAAAATTGTAGTTCCAATATTCATATTATCTGGGCCTTCGATAGAATATCCAATGACTCAACGATCCGCCTTCAATCTGGAAACTTGTGTGAGACCTAATATTCTTGCATTGAGATCCTATCGATGTGCCCGAGAGTAACTTATCCCTCCCAACAAGTGGAGTAAACATGTTACTTACCACTATAGTGATTACAAAGGCAACAGTAATAATATTCTTTTGGATGCTAACGAAAATTCCTTTGGACCATCCTTACCATTCGAATGTACGGATCCATTAGCAAGCGCTAAAAGTCTTCCTATCGATGTTCTCGGTCTCCATCGATACCCGGACCCATACCAACGGGAGCTGAAGCAAAAACTCTGCCAATTGAGAAACAAGCACATCCATACTTCAAAGGATATTACTATCGAGAATCTCTTCACTGGTGTGGGGAGCGACGAGGCGATAGATACCCTCATTCGTTGCTTTTGTTCTCCGGGCCGGGAAAAGATAATTATATGTCCTCCTACATATGGAATGTATAAAGTGTGTGCTCAAGTAAACGACGTGGGCTTAGTTACAGTTCCATTACTTCCAGCCCCCGACTTTGGAATTGACGTAGCATCTATCTTGGAAAGAATTTCTTCCCCTGAATCTACATCGATTAAAATCATTTTTATATGTTCCCCAGGAAATCCTACAGGTAATTTAATAAAAAAGGACGATATTAAGCAAATATTGGAGCAACCGACATGGAATGGGATAATTGTCGTGGACGAGGCATACATTGATTTCGCACCAGAGGTCACATCTCTGGCAGAGTGGGTAGCGGAGTGGCCAAATTTAGTTGTCATACAGACACTTTCAAAGGCATTTGGTCTTGCCGGGATTCGGTTGGGTGTAGCATTTGCATCGCCTCCTGTTGCAGCTATCTTGAATAAAGTCAAGGCGCCTTACAATATTAGCAGTCCAACCAGCGCCTTCGCAATTATGAGCTTGCATCCCGCTGGACTAGAAATAATGGAAAATAACAGGAAAAATATTTTATTACAGAGAGAGCGGCTCTTGAAGGAGTTACCCCTGCTACGAGGCATAGGACGTTTTCGAGGAGGAAAAGATAGCAACTTTTTACTTGTTGAGATACTTGATTCTAAGGGTACACCGTGCAATAATGCTGCTCAGCTAGTCTACAGAAACTTGGCGGAAAATAAAGGTGTGGTCGTTCGATACAGAGGTACGGAACATGGCTGCCAGGGTTGCCTTCGCATCACAGTTGGCACCGAAATGGAGGTAACTACATTTCTTCGAGAGATGAAGCACTCACTTGATAAAATATACCTCAACTCCCCATGAGATATTGTCTCCGTATTGCGCAGAAGCTAGAGTGAAGCTGATCTTCGATTAATATTTTGTAACACCACTCTATACCATCAGCCTGAATCATATGACTATAATCCTATTCCAAACCAAATTACTTGACGCTCTATCGCTCTTTACCACAAGCCTACAAATTCTTATTCTTATTCTGGAAAATAAGTATGAAATCCGTAAGCAATCATCACAAATAACCACCCTCCACTCTCTCCTTCTCATCCTCTAGCCTACTCTCTTTTTTTTAAATCACTCAATGTGTATTCCGCTGTCTATTTATGACACGTGAACGGTGCTATGTATACATATTGGATGACTCTTTTGACGTTGGAGACGCTCATGCTCTGTATCTCGTTCGCAAATACCACTACGAGGTATGCTTGCTTACACAAACAGTCGACCCTCCTCCGTAACTACCCACCAAAGGGAAATTCAAAATCTTTGGTTATCCAAGCATGCCTTCGTCATTCATGCATATCAGCGCCGTGAGAAAAGTGGTTGTTTTTGGCCGGATTGGAACAAGCCATCTCCTGTCTCGAGTGGGATATGTGTTCAAGCTGTCCGGACTCTACTTGGCAGACCGGCCAAGACGATGTACCACCGCACCATCCAAATATGGCGGTGTTTATAGTGTCGCCCGCACTCTCGTAACCGTAGTCTTGGCACGCACAAAGATCAATTTGTAAAAACTCCTTGCCAACATTCGGAATTTCACGCCCTTCGATGTTGTATCCTTCCTATGCATCATCGTGTCAACTTGTCCTGATCTCTCCTACGTCCATCCCAAAGAAACGTCTCCCAGATTTGTGCGCCACGCTTTGCATCTTCCGTCGGGTATAAATATCGGCGTGGGCGTGTACTTGGTGGTCAACTGAGGCCAGACAAGGTCGAAGAGAGGTGTGGCTTGAGTAAAAGAGGAGCCAAATCTGTTGGATAGTCACAGACTCAAGTAGCTCACTAAATTCACACACAATGCTAGACCTTATAAACCCTCTGATCGGCATCGCAATCGATTGCGAGAGATGTAGTGTGTAAATTTCATCCTCCTGGTACGGCAGACATTAATACAGTTTGACTTGCATCTTTCGAGTGAAAAACATCATGAATCGTCACATCGGTTCGCGAAACTTATTACATCGACCCGTTCATTCCAACTATCTTAATTCACCTACATTATCCCATTCCCTGAGCCGGCACAGACGAATTCTTAACCTTCCAGTGGTGTCGGTGTTATCGCTCAGTATGCTCTGCATATCTGGGATAGCCAAGAAGAATCGCACCCAAATCGAAGTCGAAAGCACTCATTAGCGCATCTAAAATCGACAACTTCTCGTCAGTACCGGATCTATCATTCTCACGCGAGTCCTCCACTTCAATCTTACTACAACACCTCGCCTCAAATACCGATGATGGCGTCACTCGAATTGCAATCGGGCATTTACCTCATCAAAAACCGGCCGTCTTCTACTACACATTTACGACGCTATGTAAACTCGCGAGGAGGAAATTAAGTCACAATCTACAAAGCTCGGGTTTTGGTCTTAGGGGGACCGTTGCTCTAATGGGGCTTCACATCTTGAGGGAAGACAGGCAGCTGGGACGTGGGACGAACGAGTGAAGAGGGGAAAAATGGGCATTCTGGGACCCACATTTATCGAGTATTTTCGACTTAAGATTGTCTGTGGCTGCAGAAGCAATGATTTTGGATAGTGCTACTGACACTCTAAATACTGGCAACGATAGAAGGTATTTTAGTCCGCCTCCTGATCTTCATCTCCCCGAATCAAAGTGTGGGTAGCCTGGACACCTACCTCACTCGAGAAAGGGAGGACTGTGAGCCCATATCTCACGCGGCGGATATATTCAAGATGACAAAGGTATATTAGGGTAGCCAAATGTTATTCTTGTTTTCCCTGTGGTGTATATTAACGGTTGAGGGAAGAGTGAAAGTCCCTAGCACCAAGGTCTCGAGTGGTATCAGCGAATGCACCCACTACATGAGTAGTCAAAATGTCAAACAGAGTTATTGTTGTATATATTCGTCGGGGTAGGACTCGCCATCTCCTTGTCATGCTCTTTAAGTGCAGGGCTTTTACCCGCTACGAATAAACCTTGATTCATTCACTCCATCGAGCCTAATGAACAGCAGAGAGGGGAGGGCAAGACTGAACACTGGTACGCGGTGTCCTCTGCGAACCTAGGAGTGAAATATTCTCCCAGAGCCAAGTTCAGTCAAATTTCGCAATATCAAAGAACTTGGCCCACGAGGCAATGATTCAAAATTCTCTACCACGTCGTTTTATCGCTCCCACCGAGTTTGACTCCTGCCTAAGTCCCCTCAAGTCTACAAGTACGACCAAGTGCATCCCCATTGCAATGATCACACCTCTCTTCGACCTTGTCTAGCCTCAGTTGATCACCAAATACACACCTACGCCGATTTTATGCCCGATGGAGGAAGCAAAGCGTGGCGCACAAATCTGGGAGACAGTTCTTTGGGATGGACGTAGTAGGGATCAGGACAAGTTGACACGATGATGCATAGGAAGGATACAGCATCGAAGGGCGTGAAATTCCGAATGTTGGCAAGGAGTTTTACGAGTTGAGCTTTGTGCGCGCTAAGACTTCGCTTGCGAGAGTGCAGCTTGCACTAAAAAAACAAGCCGACGATGGAAGGTGTTGTGGCCCGCCTCTTGGTGGTGTTCTCTAGTGTAGTCTGAGTAGTTGGGCACCTACTCCACTTGGGAAGGAGACACCTCAGACCACATTTCGCGCGGAGAAAAGTTAATGGATGATGGAGGCATGTCTGGATAACTCAGGGTTTTTGAGACGTATCCCTGAGTGGGTATTCACGGATGAGGGTTGACTTTGGGTGGAGAAAAAGCAAGCATAACTTCGCAGTGGTACTTGCAAATGGAATCCGAGGCATGAGTGCTCTTCTTTTACTTTGAATCATGTATTCTGTACTATTCTTTGATATTGTGTCATATCTAGATAGCGGCATACGCAATTAAAATCTGATGCTAAAAAAGTAGTAGAGAAACACAAAAGCCCGTGCATGATCAAGATCACGTGGTGACATTAGGTAATATCTGCAAACCACAACAAGAAGACTCGCGTGTTATGCGTCCTAGGAATCTTCCCGGCAACCACATACCCGAAATTAGCTTTCAGCTGGTTGGCTTGAGCGTGGATATAATGATGAGATAACGACTACCCATGATTATCTGATCAAATCTGGATTTGTGTGGCCAATAACACAGAACATCGGTCGGGACAGAGGCATAGATACTCTGGCGTGTATACAGAATAAACCAACACGTCCCAATATGTTTATCTTCATGCATTAGAGGGAAATTTTTCCTCTACAAGCAAATCCGCTTCGGACCTCTCAGAATAACCAAGATTAAAATAATAGAAAAAAAGGGAAAGTCTTTTGAAAGTGCGTAACGCCGATGAAAGCCTTTCAGCCATTTTAATATATCAATTGGTCTGCGTAGGGGTGCTTGACAGTGACGGGTTCGATGATAGCTAGGATCTAAAAGAGTTTTAAATATTCTGTCTTCTACTGCCTCCGACAGGCTCAGAAAAGATGTGAAAATTGTCGGATTTTCTCCAAATGACGATGTTTGGTATGTCTCGCTTCCAAAGGAATTACAGGGCTCTACCAATAACAGCATAGCTACAAGTGGCCTGTGAAGTAGAGATGGGAGAACAAAGGTGGAACATAGCTTATATTGAGTTTCTTTTGTTAGAGCACTGAGGGTGTATTGCAGCAGATTAGACCTTGTGGAGATGACTGAAGAAATAAATTCTTCGAGAGGGGCATATCCTCGGGTTGTGGATGAGGGCTTGTTCTCAACACCTGTCAGTGGTGCCCCTATGAACCTCCAGCTACTCACGATCAGATCAGATGGTAGGATCAAAGCCTTACTCATCACCAACCCTAGATCATGGAGGAAAAGCCATCCGATGAGTTTACGGAGCGTACCCAGCATCTAACACGGCATTGGCGGGTTGGATCAAGATGGCCTCAAAAGTTACAAAGAAGGGACATGTAGGTGGATGTGCATGCCTTGTGTGTCTCCGGTGTTTAGTCCTCGCCTTTCTGGGTCTGCGGGATGTTGAGGCTTTTTCTCGCTAATGCAGTTTCCCTTGCAACCATTTTTATTATTTTTGAGAAGAAGGTTCCGTTGAAGAGGCGGCTAAAATATAGTGGTAAGTACCGAGCAGAGTGACTATCACCACGGACATTATATCAATAGTCTTTCACGTAACAAAAGAGGTTAGGAGCTCTGTATAAGGTGGGGCCTGAGTCAGAGCCAAATGTTCTACATAGTCATAGACTCAATTAGTACTATCTATACATCTCTCTCTCGCCTTGTGTATGGACATGAACTAAACTCACTAATACAGTCTTGGAGTCAAGACGACAAAGTTTTGTGTTATATCCACATTCCTTTGGCCGTGCCGACGCATCTCGTCCGGAAACATTGAGAGAGGCAAAACCATACATCCCCGATCCAAAAGCAATTTCAACTACATCTTGATAACTTCTTGGACGGTCGTGGCCCTGAACCCTGAGAAGCGAATGCTGATTATTTCGAGTGGCATAAGAGTTCCCTTACTCGCTATACTCCTGGATGTGTGAGAGACATGGGCAGGGTCGATTGGGAACTTGAAGGGTATCGGCCTCGCGAGCCCTGACCTTAATGGACATGAGCACATTTGCCGTTTAAGTCTGGGGCACTTATCTCGACCTGTAGATCTGCAGGACGTAAGTGTGAGGTAATTACATCTACCGTAGGTACCCAGAACAATGGAATGGCCCTGTCACGGACGGACGACGTCTCTCTTGATGCAGGAAGGGTGGTGGCGTGAGTGGTGGCCTTTGTATCTCGATTGCACACGAGGCACATTCACAAATTCATGCTTCCAAGACCACGATTTGTTCCCCAGCTAGCTTTGAATTTGGAGATGAGATGGGCCTAAGCTCAGCATCTTGACGACGTGCGACGATCACCGGGAGTTTGATCCGCGATACGGAGGCCCACGACTTGCTGGCGCGGCTTCAGCTGCTAATGTGAAGAAGATCGGCAAGCCGGCCATCAGTGATCAGGGCACTGCGCTCAACAAGCACCCTGTGTGCTTCGGCCTAATCTCAAATGGTGCCCGCTGGCATTTCTCGCCACTTGACACTATCAGACCCCCAGGCAGCACCGCATCTTCGTGAAGTGAGCCCATGCCTCGCAATGTCCCCGGTCCACGAGCTGCACTTGGCTTACTACAGCCCCGATTAGTCTCACATCGAGCGCGGCAACAACAACGGCGGCCCGTCGCGCTGGAGTATCATACAGAACCGACGATGGACTCGACGGTAGACTTCAGCTCTCCGCGGGGAGGCGGACTGTCGAGAGCAGAGACTTCTACGAACCCCATGCCATCAATCTCCTATTCCCAGGCCGGCATCGGTCTTAGATCCGCCTTTTGTCTTCGGAGGGAACTATCCAGGCACTACGTAAGCCTCCCTCCATTGAGCTTTCTTTTGCATGTAGTCAGGGGTTCTCAATGTGGTATGGCTGGCGTGGACTGAACCTATGGAGATGACATCGCTCAATAATCTTACTTTCTTCTGTAGGAAAACTTTAGCTGGCCTCACAAGCCACCTATCGTATTGTGTACGTATCAAATTCATTCCATTAAGAAAAACTCTGCTTTTCATCGGCACATTGTATCACGCCAAGCAATTTGGTACGGACGCAGCTTCGGAAGTGGGTCAGATCTAGACCAGAAATCGTAATTATTATCTTTTACTCTATCGAGGGCTTCGTGGCCTTTCATGGCCGTAGATGTTTACGTAGTTAATACTCTCACTCCCAAAATGGTACTACCGTGAAAGTGAGATAGTGTTTCCCTGTGCAACCCAGATATCTCCCTCGCAGACTGTCTACAGTTCCTACCTACTTGCAATCTAATCATCGGCGTGTGCTTCAAAACATCTTGTGAAACATGACAAAAATATACATCTTGAACGCAGCAATTCTAAACCATGTCATTTACTTCGTGAGTTCCTACCGATTGGATGAATAGGGTTTAACTTCTGAATGGAGATTATGTATTTAGCGACTATGTGAGGCTTGGGTAATATTTGCCTCAGTAGCCCTGCATGTACTTGGCTTCTAGAGTTACTTGACGTCTTGTCGTTTCCGTTCCCCAGCGGAATTTTCAACATTGTAGGGTAGATGGCAGCTGACGAGTGCTGCCGCGTTATCTTTCAGTCAGTCTCGCTAACGGCGCGAGAGACGTGGTAGTAAACATGATTTCCACCCCACCCTTGAATCAGCATAACTTGAAATACTACATGGATGGCTGACCCGACACATTTTGTCCCATACAGTTATGTCAGAACCGTTCAGTCGATGTATATCACAATATCTCGGCGAAAAGAAGGCGGACGTACAAACTTCATTGTAAGCACGCGAGAAGCTAGATTTATGAGTCGATGTTTTCACGGTGACCAAACCCTTCGGATGTCTGGGTTTATTCGATCCTAAACGGAAGACTATTAGTGGTACACAATTCATTCAAATCAGCCAAAGCTTTGACTGAGAATCAGATGCTCAATGAATGATGTGGGTGCCTCCGGCTTATTCGCTGTTTGTCAGCAACAGGTATCACGCCAATGGTGTAGAAGTTGATAACTGTTCCGGGTATTAAGCCGATGTCGAAGGCCGCCGACTTTTGCCTGCCGTTAGAAGTCCTTCATTCTAGCTTGTCTAGATGCTCCAGACGTGTGAGGACAGTCTGCTTGCTAGTCTCCTCTATTTCTCCTGCTAAAAAGACTTCATCCAGGATTGCATAGACCTAGTTACCCATTAGATTCTCAGAAGATGGTGATTTCCTCCAAATGCCAAATATTATACAATCATTACTCGATATTAGATTTCCTCACGTACTTTGTAGAAATTGAACACTAAATCAAGCTCACAAACGTTACCAAAAAAACTGTCCAAAACCTCGACGAAAAAATGGAGAGCTTCGAGGTAGGCGAGTTCATTATCATTCGCATCGACGCATGCACAGAAGAATAATCCGGCATAGCGACGATAGATAATCTTGCTCGTCCGGAACTCAACGAAGTTGGACTGGTATTTTTGATCGCGAGGGGCGACTAAACGATGAACCTATCTAGATCATTGGCGATTTGTGGAAAGCATTATTTTGATGAGTGACCTACTTCACCCTTGAGCTTGATCTTCTCTTCATCGTTATATGGTGCGTACCACTTGGCTAGTCGGGTTTTGCCTCTGTAAACACGTTAGTTGGTGTAGCTACAAGGGAGAACTTTTGCAACCCTCACTGCCTATTCTGAATCAAGATAAATGATAGGACCATGGTGAAATTTCTTATGTGTAAAACTCACAGGCTGACCATGAGAGACAGTGTGTTGTTATGGAACACATGGATTGGTGGTGCGGTTATATTAACATATTATTTCTTAAAAGGGTTAGGCTCGCACGGTTACACAAATGATGCACTTATCAACGATTTCGAAGAAGGGACATGCTGAGTTCATTAGATGCGCAGCTCGATTAATTATATTACTGTAGGTAGTTTATTACATATGTCCCTATACTCTAACTGAATGATACCGGCCTCGAATACCAAGATTCAACATACGACTTTCCATATGGCGTTTCTGTCCACGTTGGAATGCATTTTGTATCCCTTTTCAATTATCCTTTGCTCAACAGTCCAGTGCATTTTTGGCTCCAGTTCGCGAACTGCACGATGAGATCCCAAGTTAAGTCTCACAACTTTCTTCCATCCATCTGATGCTTCGTTTTGTATACGGATCTTAACCGGCCAAAATTCCAAAAGCCACCACATTCTGGCGAGCTTTAGTTGGTCATTAATAGGGGCTAGAGCGTCAAAATAATCCTCAGTTTGTTCTGGTAGCAAATCACCGGGAGATAATTTGGTGCCTTCCTCATCCAGTTCGATACCCATCAACGCAGGCCTCCTCTGCAAAGGTGGGAAACCTCCTTCGGCATACTTATTCATATGATCTGGAGAGGGACCGACCCGAGGTCGTTCTTGTGCTTTGTAGACAGGCCAAACGCTATGGATATCGATTCCTGTTTCTGCAAGAGAGGAGGTTTTGAACAGAATGCCTGTGTTACACTCAAAGCATTGTCGTATCATCCATCGGAGGGGAATACGAGCTAATACATGGCGTTCCCAATTCTTTACAGCCCCGCCACCCACGTCCGCGTGTCCGCCGCAAAACCATACCTCGAGTACATCAGTTGGAGGACTGCTCTTCTGGCAGCTTTTCTCAAACTCAGCCTCAAGCTTCTCCTGGTCATCTTCCTCTTTCCCCAGTTGAGGAAATGTTAGTACGCGCTTCATAGTGAAGGTGTTCGATTTTTCTTTGTTAGCATCATCTTTCTTCTCTGGCTTCCGATCAGACTTTCGTAACGCCTTGGGAAGGTAATGTCGTCGGTTTCGAGATGTCCTAGCGTTCGACGGAATGGAAGCAGGATCAGAGTGCGCAAAATGGCACACCTGCAGTTTTATTCAGTGGTATTCATACCTGGTCTATATTCAACAGACAAACCTTGAACTTCGACCGGTGCTCATCAAGCGCCATAGCGTGTCTGAAGAATCCTATACTGTTGGTTGGGCTTTTACTGAATGGCAGTTTTCTAGGAATAAATCCGACACTAGCCACGCAATCCCACACACCAACAAAGTACACGTTTACGTCTGCACAAAACGTTTTCTTGAATTCTCGGCTCATTTTCCATCCCTCGGCGGAATCGTTTTTGTAGAAATTATATGCAAAATTTATCTGTGCACTGTTGTGTGCTGGTAAAAGCCCAACCTTGTGTAGCATTCCAGCAAGACACCTCACAGTGTATGAGCCGCGGGAGAACCCAAACAGACAAATTTTATCACCTTCTCGATAGTTCTGCATTAGAAATCGATAAGCATCTTTGATGTGTATGCCAAGGCCACTTCCTACTGACATATCGATTGCTGCAGAGATACCGTTTTTCAGTCCATGTTCGTTGTAAGTACCGATTCCGGATTGATAGTACGTTATTTGGTTGGGGTCATCTTTCTTCAAGCAAGCAACGAAATTGACTACATTGCTGTTGTCATCATCGAACTGATCACCCGTACCGTCCAAGCAGATTATAAGAGTTCTAGTTTTACCGGCATTATTGGAATCTTGCACTGCCTGGATCGAAGGAGGGAGTTTAGTGGTGCTTTGAGTCAAAGACTGCGGCCAGTTGTTCAAGTTGAGTAACGACATAGCTGGAGTGGGCGCATTATCACAGGATTGGCTCGGGTATAAAACTTTGGTCCACGGTCTTGGAGCCGCGTTGGAACTCATTCCGTTCGAATCGGATTAGGGTGGATAAGGAAGCGCGATGTCAATAGTTCTGGGAAATGGGTCTGAAAGGGATCGACTGTGCATTTATCCCCGGACTTTATTTAGTTTCCTGTTTTCATATTTCTGCTAAGCTCTCCAACTTTGATGCTTTGCCGGTGTCGATCTTTTCACTGTAAGAGTCAGATCACCAAAACAAAATAAGGGTCGGAAGTCCAATCCTTACCCTTATCTGTCAATAAATTTCGGATGAGACTAGTTACCCTTCCCGGCCTAAGAATACTCCTACTGGCGAAGCTAGCGACTTTTAACTAATCCGAACCATTGAATTATAAAGAAATTTGAGATCGGCATGCAAGCTGAAAACCTTAATTCTTCGAGTCCGATCTATGCAAGGAAGCACCTGCATGCATCAATATCATGTGCGATATTCAAGCAATGACCATATTCAGGCAAGGGGATCCCAAGTTCTTCGCGTGCACCTTCTCAGCTTGTCAAATAAATGAATCTAGGACATATATCAGGACACAGAACCAACCCACTGCATCTATTTAGAGTCCGTTCGTCATTGACAATTTTCTAAACGTTTGCACCTAATACAGCTACCTGCGAAGCTCTCATCATCCAACATGGGCCCGGGTCAGCTTAAGACTTTGATCGGTACGATCAGGCGAAAGCCGAATCGTGCTCCAAACACCAATGAAGCTGCTCCACCACCCGAAAAGACCAACCTTCTCCACGATCTAACACACTTAGGAATAAAGAATACAAAAACTGTAGCTCAGGCAATATCTACCCTCGCGTCTGGACAACCGATGAACGACAAGGAAGAGTTGCTTGAAAACGGCGTCGAAATGTTACAATCTTTACCAGCAAACAGTGGTCTAAGTGAAATTGTCTCCAACGATTTCATCAGTATGCTCTGGAACGACCTTCCCCACCCTCCCCCAACACAATCTGGACCATCTGCACGGTTTAGAAAGCACGATGGGAGCGGAAATAATCCATGGATACCTGAGATGGGGAAAGCTGGGACACCATATTCAAGAAGCGTCCCTCCTATGAAGCCAAAAGGACCAAATCTGCCAGACCCAGAGCTCGTTTTCGAACAATTACTAAAACGAAACGGGCCTTTCCGCGAGCATCCCTCTGGATTGAATCGGTTATTCTTTTCATTTGCAACTATAGTAATACATGAGTGCTTTCAAAGCTCTCGGACCAATCCATGGCTCAACGAAACTTCAAGTTATGTTGACTTGAGCACATTATATGGCAATACCGAGAATGAGCAACCACGAGTCCGGACTTACGTTAATGGATTGATATATCCTGATTCAATTGCATCTGAAAGAATAATGATGATGCCGCCCGGTGTCGTGGCGGTTCTCCTTTTGTTTTCGAGGAACCATAATCACATCGCCGAAAATCTTTTAACCATCAACGAAGATGGTCACTACAAAGAATGGGAAATGCTAACCGAGCAAGAAAAAAAAAGGTAAGTCTCAATTTTCATAACCGTCATACAAGCCTTTACAGTCTTAGACTCACCAGGGCATTGAATTCTATTCTTTCTGTCAAGCAAACCAAGGAAAATATAGCAGTATGTAGTATTGAAGATATCTCACCTCTGGTAAAAATTTTCAGATAGGAAAATTATATCATAATCGATTCAGGCATTTTGAAAGCAAAATTTCCACTGCCCAATAAGCTAACTACAGACTAGTCAAGATGAAGAAATATTCCAAATAGCAAGAAACATTAATGTTGGTTTCTTCGCGTCTATAGTGCTCAAAGATTACGTTGCTGCAATCTTGAATACTCCACGAGCCAATTCAACTTGGTCACTTGACCTCGGAGCTGAAATAAAAAAAGGCGCGACTCGGATTGAAAGAGGAACAGGAAATGTGGTCTCGATTGAATTCGTTGTTCTTTACCATTGGCATGCTGCTCTTAGTGCTGCTGACGACAAATGGATGGAAGATATAATTAGATCTGTATACCCTGATCTCAAGTCTATTGATGACGTTACCCTTGATATGTATAAAGAAGTTATGAAGTGTCACGGACATAAGTTAATGTCCACTCAACCTAAAGACTGGACATTCGGTGGTCTCGAAAGGAATGCTGATGGACATTTTGACGACTACGAACTTGGAGAACTTATCAAGAACTGCATCGAAGAGCCAGCTCACGCATTTGGAGCCCATGGTACACCTGCAAGCTTAAAGGTGGTTGATATCATGGGTCAATTACAGGCTAGGGATGTCTTTAACGTCTGCACCATGAATGAGTAAGATTGAAAACTTCATATTTAGAATTAGGACTTACGGTTATCAGGTTCCGGCGTTATCTTAACTTAACACCCTACAAAAGCTTTGAGGACTGGAACGAAGATAAAGAAACAGCTCGTGCCGCAGAGCTGCTCTACGGAAATATCGAAAACCTTGAGCTTTATCCCGGGCTGATGGCTGAAGTGACTAAGCACCCACGTGCCGGAAGTGGTGTATGTCCAGGTAAGTACTTCTACGCATACCAGCCGCTTAAACACCCTGACAAAGCACATAGGTCAAACAACTGGACGTGGAATACTGGACGACGCAGTTGCACTCGTTAGGGGTGATCGTTTCTTAAGTTATGACTTTAATAGTACCACCTTGACAAATTGGGGCGTCTCAAAGCTTGGATCACCCAGCGGTGGATCCTACGGTGGCGTGCTCCCTGAACTTCTAATGAAGGGGATTCCGGGTGCCTGGACAGGTACTTCAATTTATGCACTCTTGCCTTTCTACACTCCTACAGCTGCCAAAGGAATAGTAAAAGGGAACAAAACCATCGCTCAGTATGATCTAGAGCGTCCTCCGAGTGGTATGGCGGTTGTCGGTATTCACACTCATGAGGGTTGCAAGAAAGCTTTCGAGGATCGGGAGAACTTCCGTGTCATGTATATGAAAGCCATTAAAGAATGCACCGGTGGATTTGAATTTATGTTAGGCTGGGATGATGCAGCTCGACATGACCCTCGATCTACCATATTATACAAAGCCTTCTTCGAAGATGGATTCGAGGCCAACATCTCCAAATTTTTTGCCGAGACAACACCAAGATTGATCAAAGAGAACAGTCTTAAGTACAATGGGAGCAAGAGATCTATTGATATTGTTAGAGATGTGACTAATGTGGCTCCAATCCTCTGGCTCGCTCAACGCTTCGCCATACCTCTAAAGACGATGCAAAAGCCAAGAGGTATCCTATCCGTTCAAGAACTCTTCAACGTGTACCTTGTGCTGTTCATTTACCAATCATTCAATATCATACCCGCAAACGAATGGAAACTTCGAGAGGGAGCTCACAAGGCCGGCGCTGTGCTTCGGTCTATCCACGACGCTCATCTTAAGACCCAACAGGGTATAACCGAAGGAATTGTCGACTGGTTAGCCAAAGATAGCGCATTTGAAGTCGGACCTGAAGCAGATCGTTTGTACCACGCCCTCAACGATACAAAACTACCTGTTGGTGATCTATCCGCTAGCTGCATTCTTCTTGCTGCACCAGTAGCCGGCAACATCACACAACAAACTTCGCTTCTTGTTGACCTGTATCTAAGCCCAGGCTATGAAGAATACAAGGCACGAATCATCGAACTATCTCACATGGATACTCCAGAAGCAGAACGTGAATTACAGGGATTCGTCTACGAAGGCATGCGACACGCTGGAGTAGTACCTGGAGTACCACGGGTGGTATCGAAGGATATAACATTTATTGATGGAGCGCGTGGACCAATTAATCTCAAGGCCGGCCATACAGTACTAATTGCAACTGGAAAAGCTGCCATGGACCCAGTCGCATTCCCTAACCCCGAGAAGCTTGACCCTCATCGGGACTTTAAATCATATTCTTTACTCGGCCATGGTATGCACTTTTGCTTCGGCGCTAGGATTGTGGGATCTGCTATGGCGTCCATGCTTCGGGAAATATTTAAGTTGAAAAACATTAGACGCGCTCCCGGAAAACGTGGCCAGTTTTCGGTTGTTGAGCACGCGCTTGGCGGGACGCAGATGCGAATGTACTTGAACGGAAGCGCCAATGAATCTCCAATACCTACCACACTAACTCTTGAGTACGATGAATAAGAGTTTATGCGACTGTTGATCGGGGAAGCACAAAATTTTTTCGGTTGAGATTTCCATGACGAATGTTAATTAGTAGATAGCTTCTTGTATGTTTTAATTTAGTCTGATAATTTTTAACTTTAACTTTTACTGGTAGATACATAACACCCAGTCATTTAATTACCCTCCCGTTTTATTTCCACAGTTCGCCCTTTTGCTCTACCCAAACCAAAACGTAGACGTAGATGTGATTAATGACCCCAATAACTCGGAATAGCTGCTTGCCTAGAAAGTCTCGCCACGTTAGTTACGCACAAAGTTTACTTTGCATGGCAGGACGTGTCAACAGGTGTGTCGGAACTATCCAAGCTTAAAAAAAGGGTCATGATAGAAGACCTGCGTGCATGCTTCTGCACAGTTGTTTTATGCCCCTTCGCATTGTCCCTGCAGCTCGGGAAGAACCGTTTGGTGTAGCATCCTAGAAGACAGGGGCAGGATGGACTGATAAAATTGGTAGCTCTAAATTTTGTCGGCCTAGTTTTACAGTATCTTAAGGTCATGTCATCGAGGTAAGGTTGAAAGCAACAACAGCTAAGCACAGCAAGGTTATCAAGATAATATTGTACGAGCACAATGGGATGTACTTGATCGATTACTATTTCAAAGTGCCAGATACGAGCCCTGTAGCTGCATTGACACTACCTACTTGATCTCGTAAAAATCACTATTACTATGATGAGCAATTCAACAAGAGCTTTATAAAAACAAGACAAAAGAACTTATCTGTCCGGCGCCATGAGCCTCGCCTAATCCCCCTGTTATGGTTCACCCATAGATTAATCTTCACATCGACGTCTCGCCCTGCACTAGCCATTGTCGTCCTGACCAAATTCATTTTCTCACACCTCCATTCACTAGAGCGAACGTGAGGTTATTGTGGTTATGAGCTATGCGGATGTCACATTGCGGAGTGATGAGGAGTGGATGATGTTATAATTAGTTGTTGAAAGTGAATAGACTCATACAATATTATTGTGTGGGTGTATGGACAGAAAGTATAAGACTAAACCTGTATCCATTTATTGTGGGTACATCTATGAAACTATATACATGCTCGCCTAACCAGTACACTAGTGATGTATGCTGTAGCCTTAAGCCACACGCGATGCCCTAGCCTCGACTATCTCGTAGTCTCATATCACAACAGAGGTACGCTATATCTCAAATGTCGGCAGCACTGTTCTAGCTCATAACCTTTGGATAAAAATGTAATCTATGTTATAGCTAGATAGGCTGCATACACTTGATGACTTAAATATTCGTAGTCTTGGCGCCAACGTGCACCGCAAAGTCAAAGACCTTCGAAAAAAGCACGTCCCGACCTGACCAATAGAGGCCTCTCTCTTCTATCATTGCTCAAGTTGTACGGTCCCATTCGAGCAATAGTCCATAATGAGCTAGAACCCAAGCCTTGTATCTTGCGATCTTTTCCTCCCAGCTGGTGTCTGTGGCATCGCACAGTTTATGATGGGTGATGGCCGGTAATTAATGAGGCCAGCTCCCATCTGCAACTGGATTAACTACTTGAACAGTTGTTAAGGTGAAGTGATAGGTGTTTAGATTGAGTTGAAGGAATCGCGTGAGAATGACAAGACCGATATTGACAAGAAGTGATCGATTTTAGATATGATTTTTTTGCATCTGATTCTAATTGTATGTGCAGATATCTAGTTATAAGACAAGATCAGAACCGAAGTAAAGAAAAGATGACTCAATTATAACCAGACCACTCATGCCTCGGTTTTCATTCGCAAGTACCACTGCGAAGTAATGGCGCCTTTTTCTTCACCTCAAGTCAACCCTCATCCGTGAATACCCACTCAGGGAAACGTCTCAAAATTCCTGAGTTATCCAGACATGCCTCTATCCATTGACTTGTCTCCGCACAAAATGGGGTCTGAGGTTTCTTCCCAAGAGGAGCAGGTACCTAGACTATCAAAGCTATAGCAGAGAACACCACCACAAGGTGGACCACAGCACTATCCATCGTTGGCTTATTTTCATAGTATCAGGTGCACTCTCAAAATCGAAATCTCGGCGCACACAATGCTATTCATTTTTTAAAACTCCTTGCCAAAATTCGAAATCTCACACGCGATGAGATTGCCTCCTTATTTTGCCTCATCTTGTAAACTTATCCCGATTTCTCTAACCTCTAACCCAGTGAGCTACCTCCTAAATTTGTGCACTGTTGGAACTATAGCTACTTGCATCTCTCTCTACCGGCCAGTATTGATGTATGCACCCTGCCTGAACCATATCTTTGAGTTCAGGTAGGAATCCATACTTCTGATCCAAGAAGATTCAAGCATTGAGGCTGATGGCATCTTATTGTTACCGTACAAATCCAGTATTTGGTTTGTTAGTATTTACTCTTGCATGCTCCAGCGTTCTGGATTGGCGGATAAACATTTTCTGGCCAGGGGTCTCCATTAATTCTGCAGTCGGTTCAGTTCCGGGTAAGCTTTCTCCCTTGGAATTCTACTGCATATTCCGTGATAACTGTGATTTATTTAGATAGTTAAGCAAACTCAGCTTCTCCACTCTCAGGCATTTATTGTTCCGAAGTTCTATCAAAGCTCTAGCTGTCCAATAACCTGATGACTTAATGATCTTTCATGTACTATCATAGAGATGATGACTAATCATGCTGATGAGTAATGAGTTGCCTGATTAGGGATGGCGTTAGGAGAGAGGGGTAACTGCGGCATAGACGTGTTTCCTTTCGTCAGAGAGACAAGAATAAAGATACATGTTAACCACCAATTGTTATTACTGTATTAGGCAAAGCTATACTCATGTGAATCTCTCTCGGAGTTGATTGAATTGATTGTTCTCCACCAGAGGAATCTATCTAGGTACTATATACATCTTGAGTATCCTACTAATTCCAAATATAGACTGACTGTTAGATTGCCCATGCGAACTGCTCAAATCTACGCTCCATACATGGTTCTAAAATTGGCTGTGACATTATCATGGGCAATAGATGGAATGAAACAATGAGGGAGTTTTGCGTAGGAAATTGGCCACCCGTCTAGTCGCTAGTTGTAACATTTGCATGACTAAGTTATTGCCCTTGATGCATAGCCTCGTATACTTGCTTGTAAACTACTCAACTTCAACATCGTGATACTATATTTAAATTTAGGTTAATATTTTTGACATACTGCTATAGAAAGCGTGTGATATAAATACCACCCGAGTATTCCGATACTAACATGCACCACGATTCCTGTCCTCCGGCGGGTATTCGTATTATTGTGGGCGTGTACATGGTGGCTAGCCGAAACCAGAGGATAGTCGATGAGAAGTGAAGTTAGATACAGAGGATCAAATGAAAAATATAAAGTAAAAGTATACTGATCAAATTTCTCCCCCTCTAGCCCTCTCCGGCCTTGGTTCCATATAACCATCTAAACCTATTTCCGGGAGATAATATTTTCTCCTCGTCTACCAAAATCACATGATGAATTAAATTATATGTGTTGGAGGTCAAAAGATCTCAAGTTGAAGCTTTGATCATCCTAAAAATCTGGATCACCATGTCCATAGTGAGATATCAAAGCTCGAGACAATTAATCCGAGAGAATGTGTCATACCAATACCCAATAATTCTCATCAATAGATTCAGTAGGTTCCGAACTATCAGTTGTTTGACACGCTCCCCCAGGGATATCTTGAATTAGGTTTTATTCGAGATTTCCTGATATTCGAATCAGTGATATTAAGTGAATTATGCCTCATAATATTGTCCATGTTACAGAGGTTGAATTGATGTATAAGCTCTGTATATTTTAGAGTCAGAAGTATTTTTTTAAATCCATCAGCCACCACATTTGCCATTTTATCATATTCGGTTTCAATGCGTCTAATTGAACCACTTGTCGAAGCTAATTCTGGTGAAGACCAATATGTTCTAACGCAATCTCTAATTTCAGGGCTTCCTAAGCTTTTGTACGGGTTGTTTGAATATTTTCGCAGCATGTTGTTGGGTTTTCTCGGAGGGTGAATATGAGATGGGAAAATAGGCGTATCCGGCAGATGAGCTCTTTAGAAATAAACGTAATTGCAAGAAGATTAGCGTCGGTAGACGATATGATTACTATTTTACTTTTGGTAGCTTTCCAGTGAATCGTATTTGGCAGTTATACTTTGTCTTGTCTATAAATTTATGCATCGTGATGACTGTTGATATTGTTGACATTAGCATTCCTGTTGTTGCTACTGTCTACCGCTCGTGGCTTGGAGTTTTCCCTAGGCGAAGATAGGTGCGCATTAACTTTATCACATGATCTTATCTCAGCATTGTGAATCTGCCTGACACCCAATTAGCAGCTAGTTCACTTGGATATATGCTAGCCGCACGGTCTAGACATGGCGATTTCGCACGAAGACGCCATCCTAACCTGCTCATGCGGAGAAAAGAGAAGTCGCCCAAGCACTTTACTGTTGCCACCTCTGGCAGTAACAGGCTCAGCTCCACAGGGCACAGAATTCTGATCCCAGCTTATCTTGGGCTCTTGCTACAGCAGAGGGATTTCATGCATTTAATAGCTGGGTTTGTGATTCCAATTTCTTTGAAAAAGCACAACAAAATATATGACTGAAACGGAGTCATGTAATAAAAGCCAGAGAGCCTTAAAGTACAGTAACCAATTTCCTCCATTCTTATTTTTGTCTTTGTGTTTTCTCCTCTCCAATTAAAACCATGAGTAGAGCATGAGAGTCCAAGGGAGACCGGCATTCGTGTGTAATTCAATCTTCGAACGCAGGATAATATGATCCTGGCTTACATTTGGTTTGTTGGGTCTGTCTAGGCGCCAACGCGTCGGGTAGTTTTACTTAGACTGGGATAACCAGTACGTGAAGAGCTCATATGCTGTGCGCGGGTGCGACGTTAATAGTTGTAAACAAATAAATAAATTTGCGGAGAGGAGAAATCCAAGGATTTACAGAAAGAAGCGGTAAAGGTTGCAGCATACCTAGAATGGGTAAAATTTTGATCCGCCCTAATGCAAAGTCGGCAGCCTCAAACCCTTGTTACGGCAGATCCTGAAACTTGGCGAGTAGTTGAGTTCTATCAATTCCGATGTTCTGGACGACATAGAATAAGCTTCCAGGAATCCCCATTTTTCCTCCACAAAGATCTGACAAGGGCTCAAGTAGCCTGGCGATCAAATTCGAAGCGAGCGCGTCGGGCTTCATTCGCATTTATACAGAAGAAAAGTACCAAGAGTTTACCATCCATGTTGTCCATGTGGCTACCAATCACAAAATCTCAAGCACAAGATCATGTCCTGCCCTAGTTGGTCAATTGGTATAGGACAGATCTGGAGAAAAGCCCGAAAAGGCTTCTTTGAAGCAATGATAAACTATCATTATGGCATTAAAAGGATCACGCAATGGATCTTTAGTCATGGTTGGACAGAACAATTCTATATGACAAATGCAGTTGAAAGCCGGCAAAGACGGACTCTTGGCCTTCCAGTGGTGCCGGTGTAATCGCTCAGTATGCTCTGCATATCTGGGATAGCCAAGTAAATCGCATCCAAATTGAAGTCGAAAGTAAACACATAAAAATCTATACTCGGCGATTTCCCATCAATATCGGTCTTGTTATTCTCAAAGGAGTCCTCTACCTTAATCTCACCATACACCATCTCGCTTAAACAACCTATGAAGGCGTTATTCCAGTTGTAAACAGGAGCTTACCTCATTCATTACCGATTATCACCCACTAAAAATTCACGACGATACGTATACCCGCATGGAGGAAATTTAGTCATAATATACAAAGTTAGCTTCTTGGCTTAAGGGGGACTATTGCTCTAATGGGATAAACAACGTGAGGGAGAACAGGCGGTTGAGATGTGGAAAGAGATAAGGAAGAGACCTCTTGTGGAAATAATAGGTCTGATATCTTCGAGATATTTTCGACTTTAGAACTTTAGTGGGCGTCAAGACCGAGATTTCCGCAAATTTGCCAAGAGAGCTACTTTTGTTGATAAGTCAACGGCACTCCACAGCGCCCTGGACGGCACAAAAGAAGTTGGGCTAAGCAACTATACAGCAATCACGCGCTGTCAAGACTTTTCTGACCTTTCAGCACGACCTTCGGGAAGGAGTTAGAAGGAGGCTAGAAAGGCAGAGGGTGAATTTCCCGAGGTACCTACAAGTCTGCAACGCCCAGCTGGCCGGCCTCTTCGAACGCATCAGAAGAATCACTATGTCTTTGAATCTAGTCGTAATGTCGGTATTAGAAGAGCCCCGCACCCAGTGGTTTTTGCGAATTTTCCGGGCTGCCATTCACCCGCAAATGGCCATCGTTTCGTTAGCCGAAGAGGAGAGGAGAGATAATGAAGGGCAATGGACTTCTCTATAGAAGTAAGTGTGATTGCAAAGTCATTTTGCGAACGATCACTAGAAACTTCAGGCAGATCCGGCGCTACTGCGTTAGAGAATATAATTTCCCACACTTTAGAACGCGATTCTACATCAGTTTTTCTTTCAAATATCCGGAGCCGTTGGTATTCGTCGATAACTTCTAGCCTCCGAGCTTCATCCGTAGGTGCTAGTTGCTTTTTAAAAGCTACTAGCGGCTCATGAATAGTCTCTTTCAATTCAATATATATTTTTTTGCATCAGATTTTATTTGCGTATGCAGCTATCTAGCGATGACATAACATCAGAGAAGTGGCCTGGGCTCCTACTTCACTTGGGAAGGCGACATCTCAGATCACATTTTGCGCGGAGAAAAGTAAATAGATGCCGGAGACATGTCTGGATAACTCAGTGCTTACGAGACGTTCCGCTTGTTAGAAATTGTCAAGGATCTCTAGGAGGAAATATATCGAAGAACAAGTGTACAATTTCGGACAAGAATTTATTGATAGTTTTATATGATATCGAACTCTCTTCTCAGTATGAATTAATAGTATATAATACTCCGTTAACTTAGTTTTACATATACAGATGAGTCTATCCTTAAATACAGATCCCCGAGGCTTTAGTGATCCCGAACTCCCAGTGATCTAGCAACAACCAGCCACTTAATTATGGCAAGATAGCATTTCCTAGCCACTGAACCTTATTTCGCCTAAATGAGCTTAATCATATTCAATCGAATCAACTCAATTGATCTTGATGATCATACTTAGAAATCTAAACCTTCATACATGCTAAGTCTAGATTTCTAATACCCCTGGGTGGGTATTCACGGATGAGGGTTGACTTGGGGTGAAGAAAAAGGCGCCATAACTTCGCAGTGGTACTTGCAAACGAAATCCGAGGCATGAGTGCTCCTCTTGTAAATTGAGTTATCTATTATACACTTCTCTGATATTATGTCATAGCTAGATAGCTGCATACGCAATTAAAATCTGATGCAAAAAGAAAATCTAGCACATTGGGCCCCTTTCTGAACCAGGCCACATCTTGTACAGTGCTCCTTGCCTCTTTTGTTGTAAAATCATTGATATATTACCCGCGATGAATAGCCATTCAGCTCAGTATTTACCCGTGGAATTCGGTCACCTTTTCCACGGAACCTTCTACCCAAAAATAATATGAACAATTAAAATAACATGGTAGCAATGGAAACTGCGTGCGCGGGAAAACGTCTCAAAAAACCTGCAGCCCCAGCAAGGCGAGGCCTAGACATCGGGACCACATGAGGACAATAATTGATGAAAAAAGTAATTATTTTATTAATCAGCAAAAACTTTGCAATGTTGGAACCGTGGCAGGCTTAAGAAAAAATAGCTTTTGGTTACGAAAAAATGATCATGTCACTGGTATTTCTAGAATGTAAGACCGGGGATATGATTATTATATGTATCATGAAAATTCTAAGATTCCCAAGATTTGATAATTCAAAGGCTCCACTTGAACATTTACTTAATAGTCATTATGGAAGATATTGTGCTCACTAAACGAACATCAAAGCCTGTATTATTCCGAACCTATTCATATTGATGAAAATGCTCAGCTAATTCCAAATTTTTACTCTTCAAATTTCATGCACACATGACAACATGACAGCTTTCCAGACCTTCAAATCTTCTTCTTAATCTCTTCTTTTTTATCCTCCGCTTGATCGGCTATTTCACTAGCTTTGCCTTTGATTTCTTCATTTACTTCGCCAGTAGACATGCCACTTATCTCTTTCGCTTTTTTGGTAGCTTTCTCTGCAGCGTTTTCTATAGTCAATGTTAATACCAATAGTGCCTTCGTTGTGTGCGGAGAATTTACGACTAATCTCAATGCCTTCAACGATCTTTCCAGAAATAGCCTTATCGACTTCCTTAGTCTTATCCTTAATTGCTTCAGATGCCGACTTTGAACACTTATTTGATGTCCCAAAACATGCTGCAGGCCTTGGCACAGAAACCGCTCTATGAGTACGGAAGACAGCTGATATGCGGGAAGAAAACGGCATTGGGAAATTTCTCTTCGGATTTTTGGCTTAATGATGTGACTTGTTGGGAGGTAATTATTGTATCTGGGTTGTTACCTGAATAAAACTCTGACTTAACTCGGGGTTATGAAAAAAAGGCAGCACAGCAAAGAAAAAAGACAGCAGACGAGATATTTATGAGCTCAGAAGTGAGGAGTGAGTGGGTATGACATCAGGAGCATTTAACACTAATGTGTAATTCCAGCTGTGAGGGGGCGATATACCCTTCAAACAAGAATATAGCTTCCCATCATTTGATGAAAGCCACATGACTCACTCACACTTGTTTTTTTGGGCAGGAGACTCTGATGAAGGAAGCCCGAACTTCGAACGACCACGACGTCATCTGCGACTCAATAAAGCTAGCGGATACTGACCGCCCAAGATCATAAGAAATACTTCAAAGTTAAGCCTGTTTTGAAATTGACGTCTACAACACAAAGTAGTGGCTATCTCACATGCAATAATCATTACAAACTTTAAAATATCCAACGTCAGAACGACTCAAATTTTGGTAAATTGAATTTAAATTGGAATCGCTCTTTGATTTTTCAAGCTTTGTTTGCTACGAGAACATCTTTTTCACACGAGCTTCGAGATTCTCGGCCGTCTTTCGTTTATAATTATCTACAACGATATCGGATAGCTCTGCGATTCTCACTCTGAAATAGCTTCCGAAGTAGATTCTGGTAGCTTGGACGCCTATTATACTAGATGTAGGAGATCGCTGGTATATACCAACCAAGACAGGCTACTTAAAGCGATAATTTGCATAATTATCATCCATTGTATTTTTTGTTAACGTTTTAGACAAATAAAACAGATATCGTGATTCCACTGCAACATAAGCAAGCGCAGATTGTGGATCCTAGGGTGATGGAAACTGATTGAGCAAATCTTACGCATTTGATTTTTTTGTTTTGGTCGGATTTTAATTACGTATGCAGCTATCTAGCGATAACACAATATCAGAGAAAAAGTATGGAAAAGATGACTCAAGATAAAATTAGAGCACTCATGCCTCGGATTTCATTTGCAAGTAACACTGCGAAGTTATAGCGGCTTTTTCTTCCCCTCAAGTCAACCCTCATCCGTGAATACCCACTCAGGGATACGTCTCAAAATTCCTGAGTTATCCAGACATGCCTCCGTCATCCATTGACTTGTTTCCGCACGAAATGTGATCTGAGGTTTCTCCTTCCCAAGTGGAGCAGGTGCCTAGACTATCAAAGCTATAGCAGAGAACACTACCAGAAGGCGGACTACAACACCTTCCATCGTTGATTTTATTAAAGTTCTAGGGGGTATCTGGAATGATAGAAGTGAACGTTGACCGTCAAGTCAATACTGTACGAATCGTAAGATATTGGGAATTTAAGGATCAGAGATAAAAGGTTAGGATCAGTGAGGTTTTGGTTTTACTGAACTTATATTTCGGTAATTAAAAGTGTTTTTTGTTTAATCTACATCTAATTGTCTATCTATGTTCTACCTCGCTTAGGTAGAAACATTGTGTTCTGATTACGTGATGGAATAACATTCACACCACCGAGATCATCACCAACCGAGACCTCACCAAAGCTGGTAGCGATCGAAGATGAGTAGTCTTCGTTTACTCCGCACTGCGTGCAGTTCGGTCTGGCATGTCTAGATTTCAACAGATTTGTGTTCAAAGTGTCAGTTGCACACCCGCAACCGGAGTCTTAGCGCGTACACAAAGCTCAATTTGTAAAACTCCATGCCAAATTTCAAATTTTTACGACCGTCGAGTTTATATTCTTCCATTGCATCATGTTGTAAAATTGTCCTGAATCCTCTCACGTCCATACCGAAGAACTGTCTCCCAGATTTGTGCGCCACGCTTTGCTTCCTCCGTCGGGTATAAACAACGGCGTGGGCGTGTATTTGGTGACCAACTGAGGCCAGAGACAGTCGACGAGAGGTGTGGTCATTGAAACGAGGATGTACTAGGTCGTACTTGTAGACTTGATGAAGCTTAGTTGAGAATCATACTCTTTGGGAGTGAAAGATTGATATGGTGGAGTAATTTGAAACTTTGCCTCGTGGGCCAACTTCTTTGATATTGCGAAATTTGACTGAACTTGGCTCTGGAAGAATATTTCACACCCAGGTTCGTAAAGGACATCGCGTACAGGTGTTCAGTTTTGCCCTCCAGCTGTTCTGATCATTCTGGTGGCGCAAGGTGTTGTGATCCAACGCTCTTCAATCTGCGGACTATGTGGTGAGCAGTTGTTATATCTCACGTGATGAAACACGGGAGCGTAGTAAAATAGGAGACAACCCACTAGCCTCTTGGGCACGAAGTTAAATATTATAAATATAAATAAACCCACTAGCCTCTTCTAAGAGACTACGAGCACACGTAGAATTGTAACATATTTTCAGGCCGGCAAAGATGATTTCTTCATCTTCCAGTGATGTCGGTGTAATCGCTCAGTACGCTCTGCATATCTGGGGTAGCCAAGAAGAATCGCATCCGAATCGAAGTCAAAAGCAACCTCAAGCACATCTCCATTGGACGACTTCTCAACAATGCCTCTCTTACCATACTCATCCGAGTCCTCAACCTCTCTCTTACCACACATCATCTCGCCTCGACGACCAATAAAGAAGTTACTCCAATTGCATACAGGAGCTTGCCCCATTAATTTATAGCCATCTCTCACTATATATTTACGACGCTATTTATACCCGCAAGGAGGAAATCAAGTCGAAAAATATAAAGCCTGGGTCCTGGTTTATGGGAGACTGTTGCTCCAATGGGACAAACATCTTGAGGAAGAACAAGCGTCTGAAATTTGGAGCGAGAGGGTGAACAGGTCTCTGAAGGCCATGCCAGACTGACATTTTCGAGTGGCTTTCAACTTTGGAATGTTTGTGGGCGCCAAGACCGAGATTTCAGCAAATATGCCAATAGAGCTACTTTTGTTGATAAGTCAACGGCACTCCCCAGAGTCCTGGACGGCACAAAAGAAGTTGGGCTAAGCTACTATACAGCAATCACGCTCTGTCAGGACTTTTCTGACATTTCAACACGACCTTCCGGAAGGAGTTGGAAGGAGGCTAGAAAGGCAGAGGGTGAATTCTCCGAGGTACACAAGTCTGCAGCGCCCAGCTGGCCGGCCTCTTCGAACGCTTCAGAAGGATCACTATGTCTTTGGATCTAGTCGTAATGTCGGTATTAGAAGAGCCCCACACCCAGTGGTTTTTGCGAATTTTCCGGGCTGCCATACACCCGCAAATGGCCATCGTTTCGTTGGCTGGAGAGGAGAGATAATGAAGGGCAAAGGGCTCCTCTAAGTGCATGATCGAATGAGGACCTGTGAGGGGTGGTACTGTTGAAGACAGCTGTATAGGAGGCATAAGAGGGGATATCTTACTGGTGTAGGTATCCTTAACCTGTAGGTAGAGAGGACCTGCATGTCCTACATAGTCATAGAATCAGAAAGGAACATAAAATGAATTTAAAAAATTAAAAATAATACATTCTCTGTAGATAGACTGACAAGTAATTATTATCAATAATTGAATCAGCCCCCACACAATTGAGTCCTATAGTAGTGCCAAACTTTCATATAACCCTCAATTGTATTGTCGCAATCACATCTGTAACGAGCCACCACTGTATTCTAGAATACATTCTCTAACTGTGATAAGCTACACCACCAGGTCTAGCATACAATTACAATAAAAGGCCCATACAATTGCGGGTAATTGACTTGATCGAGACTGGATCTATCAGTGTTCAGGCTCCCACAGGTATGCGGATGGTGATTACTATCTGGCATGTTAAAAAATGATTATATACTCCACTAGAATTGTAACGTGTTTAGATTACCGCCAACCCCAATTAAAAATATGTCAAAATTTAAAATAGAGGTCCAGACTCAACGTTCTTTATTTAAATTCCCCGTGATGATCCTCAGTCACCTCTTGAGAGTGAAGGCAACTATCGCATTGGTGGTGTAAGTTTGTTTTGTTTGTTTGTATTTTAGTCGTATCATGCTTGCGCCCTATACCCACGAGGCGTGATACGGGTTGGTGGTGTAAGTTGTAGCTGGGTATCTAAAACTACGAGATGGTCCTAGGTCTATACAGTAGACAGATATGCACGTGCCAAGTGGCACGTGGCATGTGAGACCGGCGGTGAGGCCAATGGCCATAACTTCCTCATCATAAATTTGTTTATTTGCACATGCTGAGGGAAATATTAAGGATATAGGTTGACTTTTGAAACAGTCGGTTTCCTGTGAGAAGGTTGGAAATCATAAGGCATTTGGGGCCAAGGAGAAATTTAAAATTTAGCAGCAAGGAGTGGCCTCATATAACTGAGACATGTACTAATTGTTCTGCAATAAACTTGAGCAGAATTCATCGGCTGCGGTTAATTTTTTTGTTTGTTTCCCATTTATCGTCAAATTGGAATAAAGCGGGGTCTTTCTCCACTTGATGCACCCAGTCAGGGAGGAAACGCTAGATCCAAGCGTCCTGGTTTTGTGAGACGTCCAGTTCCAAAATTTGGAGGGCAAGACTGAACACCTGCACGCGGTGTCCTCTACGAACCTAGGAGTGAAATATTCCCCCAGAGCCAAGTTCAGTCAAATTTCGCAATATCAAAGAAGTTGGCCCACGAGGCAATGATTCAAAATTCTCTACCACGTCGTTTTTTCGCTCCCAACGAGTTCGACTCCTACCTAAGTCTCGTCAAGCCTACAAGTACGACATGGTACATCCTTGTTTCAATGACCACACCTCTCGTCGACTTTCTCTGGCCTCAGCCGGTCACCAAATACACGCCCACGCCGATATTCATACCCGACGGAGGAAGCAAAGCGTGGCGCACAAATCTGGGAGACAGTTCTTTGGGATGGGCGTGAGAGGGATCGGGGCAAGTTGAAAAGATGATGCATAGGAAGCATATAACCTCGAAGGGCGTGAGATTCCGAATTTTGGCAAGGAGTTTTACAGATTGAGCTTTCTGCGCGCCGAGACTTCGCTTGCGAGAGTGCAGCTTACTCTATAAAAACAAGCAAACGATGGAAGGTGTTGTGGTCTGCCTCTTGGTGGTGTTCTCTGGTATAGTTTGAGTAGTCTGGGCACCTGCTCCACTTGGGAAGGAGACATCCCAGATTACATTTCGCGCGGAGAAACGTTGATGGATGACGGAGGCATGTCTGGATAACTCAGGGTTTTTGAGACGTTCCCATGGATGGGTATTCACGGATGAGGGTTGACTTGAGGGGAAGAAAAAGCCGCCATAACTTCGCAATGGTACTTGCAAATGAAATCTGAGCCATGAGTGCTCTTCTATTACGTTGAATCATCTGTTATGTACTTTTCTTTGATATTGTGTCATAGCTAGATAGCTGCATACGCAATTAAAATCTGACGAAAAAAAAAAGTTCCAAAATATAAAAAAGGAACTATAATGTTGAAAATATGTTTAAAAAGGGAAGTCAGGTGATGCTTAATGGAAGTTACTGATGAAGGATTTGGTTGTTGAGTTTTCTATTATTTCTATGTTAGGATACACTTCGTCGATCCTACTAGGCTCGATAATTAGTAGTCCCGACCGACTGGTTTTTGGCAAACGGAGATTGCGTATACCCCATGTTAGCGTTGTTTACTGCTGTTAATAGGAGATCCTGCGTGGGCTATCTATTGGGATTGAAAGGAGTCTGGTACCAGTGTTTAGAAGAGTAGTCGAATTGGCATCGATTTATCCTTCATTATTGCATAAGCTTCCCTCTACCAACAAGTCAACGAACTAAGTTGTGGGTTATATTTTTCAATACCTAATCTGATTCGCGTTTATTTGGAGGTTCATTCAAACACCAAAATATTTATAAAAGTACATTCAAGTAATTTACAAATAGATAATATAAATTTGCGCTGCGTGAAGCAATCCTTATGTGCCGAGTATACTTGTATTCGGTAACAAGCTAGATGAAACTTTAACACGTTAGAGCACCTCAATCATATGAGCACTACAGCCACTAATTTGAAATAATTATTCGGCAAACTGAGGTAATTTTACTATAATGGCACATGATATATCACCATGGCATGTGAAAAAACGTTAAACGTTTTTGTGAAATGTCTGAAAGCATTCTTGTTAGGGTGACAGTAAAATCAGTAGAATAGTTCTAACTAGTATATCACACATAATTATTTGAACTCCACACATTAGGGGGTAGTTGACGCAATGGTTTCAAGCCTTAAGTTGTTAAGGTCCCTCACTATAAGAGAGAAATGCTCCGAATCAAGAGATCTTCCTAGTAAGGTGCAGGCCCCAGAAGTATGCCGTATTTTGTTCAATAGGTTCAAAACTAAATACAGTGAAAGTCGTATTTATAATTTGATCCGGTTTTCTGGCAGCAACGGCGTCAGAGTGGCGAGCTAGTATTTATTCGTTTGTGTTTTCTTTCTGCTAGCCATAAATAACTCGATCCACTATTCGAGAGCGAGAGAAATTGGAGTACTACCATATACTCAGTCAAGATCCAATACTTTAGGCCCGTGAGAGTTGTATACCACGTGGTTTGGAAGCTAGACATAGTGTTTGCTTAAGATGACTCTCAGATACTATACTCCTAGACATGTAAGGTATGCAAATTATATCTGAAAGGTGTCTGATTTTCTTTGGAGGTTAAAGTGAGAGTAGCACCATAAAAAGACTCGTGAGTCTCGTCGTAGGTTCTGGTGGGGCCAAGAATAGTCAAGTAAAGTGGTCATATCATCGTCCATACTTTCACCTTCAATCTCTCGACTATCTCTTTGCGAATCCATAGCGTATTCCTACCATCATTCGCAGCCTTATCAGCCCAATCAAACAGCAGCTTCAATCCAAATAGCCGGTCCTTCCTTCCACTCTCTAGTGTAGCATGTTCAAAGATGAGCCTCGCATCAACAACTGTCCCACTTGTCCTTGCATGAAGGTCGCTTGCGCCTCCACGGTCGGGCGGAATCACTAATGCCCGCTCTGCTTGACTTAGCGATTCAAAGGCTGCAAGTTTAAAAATCCATTCCAAGGGATTGGAAGTCACATTTTCTACATTATTCAGTGATAGAAGAGTTGATTGGAATGGAGTTAACGCAGAGGTATGAGCTGGGCGACGGCGTACGAAAATGGTTTGCGTCGATTTGAATGCCTTCATGTGAGATGGGTTACTCTCAAGATCAAGCAAGAGATTCCAGAAGTCGGGAGTATTGGTACGAATATATTTGATTAGATTAAATTCTGGCAAGAGACAAGGACTATGACGTATTAATTGATCACCGTTGCGAAGAGTAATAGAAATAGGCACTGAGGTTGGTTTATTGGTATAAATGTCCTTTGTTACGAGACACCGTGGCTCGGCTGCGAGGGCCCAAAAATGTCTAAAAGCTTGTAGATGACCCTTATTATCATGAACGGAGTTTGGAAAAATAGGATAAAAGGCTAAGAGTAAGGCGGCAATAGCTATATTAGAAGTACCAAAAGTAAAGGTACCACCTCCAAGGAAAAGCGCGCCGATGGCAATATGTGCTGCCAGATGACTACCATAAGGTGTTTCGCTATCATCGCGCCCATGTAGAGATCGAAGGCGTCGCAAGACTGTAAGATCGCCAGTACCTGCCATTACGGTTGCTGCTGAAAGAGCTATTAAGTCTTGACAATTGCGAACCGTGTTCCTCGTCAACTTTTCATCATATGTAACTGCTTCAATTCTGCAGATACGCATTAGCTGATCCAAATAATAGACTAGAAGATCCCGCACGCTTGAACACGCAGACCCTGCGAAACGCAATGCAATACTGAAGCAGAGGCCAGCTATAATATCATAAAGTGCTAGATCATCAGTAGTCAACGAAGTAACAGAGCTTAACTTGCTGCGGGATCTATACTGCTTTGGTAGATTCTTTTCTATCCATTGAAAACATGGATCAATCATACTCCACATAATGAGATGACTGGCTACTGTTCGAAGCAAAAGAATATCAGGGCGTACATAGTCATATTGAAGTATTGAGTCTGGAGCATTGATTTTTCGAGCCAAAATTGAATTTTCAGACTTCATGAAAATCAAAGCAATCCCGACAACGGCAGCAGCAGTAGCTTTGTCTAAAACATGAACAATATCCACTTTTTTGTTTCCGGTCGCGAGAGATAGTAGCCTTTCGGTGAGTTTCATATCGTGTAGTCCTTTCAGATCAGTACCCTTGCCGAGATTGATGAATCCTAGTGCGAACCCCGCTGCTAGACGGTATCCTTCATTTCGTAGTGATTCTTCACCCGTATCATTATCAATGTGTTCGATCTCTGAGACCATTATCTCACTCATTCGACGATGTTGAGTATTACAATAAAGCAGTCCTATTCCCATGATTCCCGTCGTTTGAGTCAGTGATGATAGATTTAGCTCTGCAGCACCTGGTGGCAGCATCCGCGTGACGTGAACTGAAAGGAGTCTTGTAATCAATGAGTCCATGGTTCCAAGATATGAGGCTGCGAGCCCAAGGAGTAATCCAATAGAAGTCATGGTATGCTTTGGGGTTAGATACTTAAAAGAAACCCACTTAGCTACCGATTTTAAATGTCCGTTTAAGCCCAGTGCAAGCAGAAAGCCAGCGTGCCGATTGTTCAGAAGATCCGGAGATGGTTTGTTAAATAATATCCATGAGGTATCAATCCCTTTGGAATCACGAGAAATTTGCAGCCCAGCGGCAACTCCGGCATGGAAAAATGCCCAACAGACCTTTTCTTCGGTAAAGGCTGTCTTATCTGCCGCTATAGTATTATTATCAGGTCTTATGATACAATTTAAATTGAAACCACTTATGTGCCACTTTTGCGTAAGAAACGGGATGCGAGCACTGAAATAAAGTAGGCCTCTTCCTGAAGGGATTGCGAGAGTGCGATTCGCCAATACTTGTACATGCTCTTTTTGAGCTTCTAGTAATTCGGAATCGCTCCAGTGAGGCTCTGCTTTGCAAATAGCAATGGTTGGGTGTGTAGTGTCAAGTAACTGTATTACTTCATTCATCCTTCTGTCATCACTAAAAATGGTCCTTGAGATAGACTGTCGATCAATTTCTGCTGATCCATCAAACGATCCAGTACTTTCCGTTTCAGAAATAGATAAGCAGATGCTGTGCACATCAAGACTTGATTCATGAGATGATATCTATACAACATTAGCTGTATAGCTGTAAGACAAAAATATTAGTGACATACTAGAGCCATCGACTGTACTTCCCGTGGTTTTTTTCCAAGTGAGAGAGACAGATTTATATCTTCACGCCCTACTAGAGTAAGTAGAGTACTACTCCAATGAGAGGGTGGTTCTGCTTGACACTGAATCATAGCTTCTTGTATGGGGGCTAAGATAGCTTCAGGCAGAGTCTCCAACATCAGAGAGTCAGCTCCCGCGTTAGAAAGAGCCTCAACGTAGTGTACAGGGGAACAGTTGCTATTTATGTTATCAAAAAATTTATTTAACACGAGTGTTCGAGGTGTCAGGCGTATCTGTCGGTTGTGTGAGTTTTTACTGGAAATCAATGGATTTGTTACAAATCCATCAGAAATAGTTCTGAATTTTGTCGAACATTGAGAAGTTACACAAGCCTGGATCCAATCATATATAGATGGACATTCAAAAGGCTGCGGAATTGAAGGCTGAAATGGCGAGTCTATCCACATCAGTACACAAAAATTCATTAAAAGTTTCACCTTACCGTTGTCAAACTCAGATATTGCTAGTAGCGCTTCTTCGATTTCATAGAATTTTATCCAGCTAGACCAGCCAAGCCATAACACTATTTGCATCAAAATTGGAGTTAAACTCGCAGATCCGGTGTTGAAACAGTCAGATGTCATTATATCAAGTTTTTGCTCTTCTCGTAGTAGGTGGAGCCCTATGCATAAATTTTCTAGAGCCTTAGAACGAGACTCAGCCGTGTTATTCGCCCAAGTTGGAAGGCACTCAAACAACAGTTTTCTCCCCGAATTAGTTCTTGCGTAATCACGGGCAAGTTTCACATATTTGCATGAAAATGAGTGGGTCTGGATAGTACTTTGTTCAAATATTGAATTTGGCTCCTTCAAGTTTTTTTCTTGAAATTCGGCGGCAACATTGTCCATGAGCCAAACCCATCCAGAATTTTCAGTCCATGGCGGTAAGGAATTTCCTTTTTTAGCCTCTTCTTCTTGCATGAGTTCCCAATCGTAATGGAGTTGTTGGAGCGTGGTACTTCCATACAACGGTTTAGCCAGAGAACTCTTTTCTTGGACTGAAACATCAGGTATCGACTTAATATTGTGATGGATACCGAAAGTAGACGCGAATAATATGATACAAAGAGCTGTCCATTCTGGATCTAGATTATTAAAAGAATTTATTTGGAGCCACTGCATAGCATTCCACCAGCAGACCAAGAATCCGTCGCTACTTTTTAAAGGTTGGCTGTCAAGATCTCTGCTTAGAGAGAGTATTTCTCTGCATCCTTCAATAATCTTAAAAATATGGGGGTCCTTTGGCTTTAAGGATATGCAGATTTGATGTAATATTCCCTGTTCATCGAGGAGGTCCACCCGTCCGCCTGGTCGAGAATTCCGCAAACCACATAGAGCTTGAGGCTGCCTTAGATTCCCTTCTTGGCTAAATTGACCTAACTGATGGCTTAGCTGCCAAAGTTTTGTAGAGACAAAGTTTTTAGAAAGTGGCACTTTGACAGAGATACTCCAAGGGGCTTGCAGATGCAGTTCTCCGTAGCCATCTTCAGTTTCTGACAATATCAAAACGCGGGAGATTTCACCATCATCAATTCGACAAGCATCTATCACATTATCTATTATTTTGATTGGCCCAAGAGAAAGCGAACTAGTTTCGTTTTCTGGCTGAGGTGTATTTTTTGTATGTCTCAGATTGGTGTCGAACTTTTGGTATTTTGAGTACAGCATGATCATTGTGAGTTTTTTTTCGTCGAGGTCTAGGATGCAAACTAGCCTGCAATTTCCACAAAGATTTTCTGCAGTAAATTGAGGAGCCGATAGCGTAAACACCTTACAATGAGATGCAGCCGGTTTACGGTTACCAGGGCATCGGACATTGCTGTATTCAGCAGAGATTGTCCCCACATGAGTTAAGACTATTTCTTGCCTCAAAGCGTCAAAATTATCATAATCAATACCAATAAAATCCCTTCGAGTAAAATTGTCTTCATCACAAAGCTCTTCTAGTGGACTATCATCATGCGATTCGAAAATACTGTTTCTTCTTTGACTAGAGAGTGGTATTTGAGATGTTCCCGCACTACTTAACAAACCATGTGGACCTATACTAGTTCTAGTGTGTTGACTTCCATAAGATTCAATGCGTTTACCGTGAGAGTGTGGAAGACTGCTAGCGATATCCGTGAAAGTAGATCGTTCATGAGTAGCGGACAAATCAGCTCGAGCCAACATCGAACTAACTTGGCGAGACTTTCTCCTTGGAACTGCCTGGCTTTCGAAATCTGGACCAAGAGTTGATACGAAATCTACAAGCTTATCCTGAGTTTCATCAAATTTAAAGTTTTTTTTTAGGTTGGTAGACTGCGAGCTTCCTATACCTTCCATGTTAAATTGCTTTCCAACCATGATAGGGGTGTTGGCTCCAGTTGTAGCTCCGGGTGCATAGGAACTTCGGCGGCGTGATATTTTGCCGCTCACGAACCTTTTCTTATCTTCTTTTGTTGGGATTTCTCCTTGATAAGAAAATCTCCATATAGTATATCTGCTAGTCCCTTGATTCCAAGTTATAGCAATCACAGGTGGAAAAGCTATCCCTTTTGGTAGATAATCGTCACGGTTAGAAATATGAAGAATCTCCTCATCCATATCTAGTTGCAATATTCTAACCTTTTTTTGTTGCCTTTCCCGGCTTTCGAAGTTTAATTTTTGTGCAGTTATCAAGCCAATTTCAGCGAGCGGGTCTGATAGCGAAAAGAGTCGGGGCCAGTTATCACCTATATTCATAGATGGAACATCCCACATACTTCTGTGCATCGGATGGGGAAGAGGCATCTGCTTGGGTGCGCCAAGATCTGCAACTGAAAATGAAGAAAGCTGAGAGCTAGCTGCAGACCAAGGTTGTGATTGAGACGAAGCAAATGAGGACTGTGTTGGTAGTTGAAATTTCAGAGCAGCCGCCATATGAGTAGTACTTAATTTTCTCTGTAAGACCACGCCGCTCGGAGCAGCAAAAGCATATTCAACCTCAAAAGGTAAATGTATAATGTGACTAGTGCCGAAGAGAAAATAAACATGAGCCTGTGTTTTTAGGAATATCACGATTGCAGTCTCCCAGGGACCATCGTTCTCACTTTTTTGGGTATGATCTTTAGACTTCACATTTTTCGAAGTAATGGGATCAACGCTCGGAAAAGTGGTCAGCAAGGCATGAGTTACAGCTTCTTTTTCAACGTCGAAGTTGTAGCACTTGCGAAAAATTCCCCCTCGAGACCAGATGACACATCGAGGAGTAACGAGTAACTCATCTTCTTCAGAGGGATAATTGGCGGAATTTTTAGAGTAGTTACTCCAGTTAAATAAGTCATTAGAAGGATTAGTTGGTAAATAACCTTCCTGAATAGCATATTCCAGACCAATGGGTGATGAGATACCAAGTGAAGTTATTGAGGCCATTGATAGGCACAAGTAGATCCTGTGGGATCTTCAAAATAAGCATGTCGTTTTCACCTGATTTATCCGCAATGCACTGATAAAATAAACCAGGTTGAATTCATTCACGGTTGTCGCGTCTGCAAGGCTGACAGCCTTGTTTCATGCACCTAAATTGACCATTGGGCCAACCTGGGTTATGCTGACAGATCGAAGCCTATCAATTTGAAACAACCGCGGAGATCCTGATCACTTCACTTTTGTGTAGAATTAATTAACAGTGACGGTTAGAGTATCTATGAACGCCCTCAATGTAGGCCGGCTGGCGTAGATGACAGGGAATTCTCGGGCGAGCTCAAACAGATTTCTTCAGGCGAGAGGAAACTTATAGATCTCTGAATAATCTAATGTTTATGTATGTTTCTAGCTATGACACATGTTTAGTGATATATGTACATGTAATATGACTCCATTAACTTAACACACTCATACTCCGAATATCATTTGCAAATATCACTGAGGTATGTTCGCGGAGGGCAAGACTGAACACCTGTACGCGGTGTCCTCTACGAACCTGGGAGTGAAATATTCCCCCAGAGCCAAGTTCAGTCAAATTTCGCAATATCAAAGAAGTTGGCCCACGAGGCAATGATTCAAAATTCTCTACCACGTCGTTTTTTCGCTCCCAACGAGTTCGACTCCTACCTAAGTCTCGTCAAGCCTACAAGTACGACCAAGTACATCCTCATTCCAATGACCACACCTCTCTTCGACCTTCTCTGGTCTCAGTTGACCACCAAGTACACGCCCACGCCGATATTTATACCCGACGGAGGAAGCAAAGCGTGGCGCACAAATCTGGGAAACAGTTCTTCGGGATGGACGTGAAAGGGATCAGGACAAGTTGACAAGATGATGCAAAGGAAAGATATAACTTCGAAGGGCATGAAATTCCGAATTTTGGCAAGCAGTTTTACGAATTGAGCTTTGTGCGCGCCAAGACTTCGCTTGTGAGAGTGCAGCTGACACTATAAAAACGAGCCAACGATGGAAGGTGCTGTGGTCCGCTTCCTGGTGGTGTTCTCTTGTATGGTTTGAGTAGCCTGGGCACCTACTCCACCTGGGAAGGAGACACCCCAGATCACATATCGCGCGGAGAAAAGTTGAAAGATGATGGAGGCATGTCTGGATAATTCAGGGTTTTTGAGATGTTCCCCTGGGTGGGTAATCACGGATGAGGGTTGACTTGGGGTGAAGAAAAAGCCGCCATAACTTCGCAGTGGTACTTGCAAATGAAATCCGAGGCATGAGTGCTCCTCTTGTAAATTGAGTCATCTTTTCTGTACTTTTCTTTGATATTGTATCATAGCTAGATAGCTGCATACGCAATTGAAATCTGATGCAAAAAAAAAAAAAAAAAGAGGTATGTTCGCTTAGACGAAAAAGTCGACCCTCCTCCATCGGTACCCACCATATAGAAGTTTCTACCCCTTTGATTGGCTGGTTGGATTGGATATCAAAGTAGTACTAAAATCTTAGACTAATTAACACATAGGACTTCTCTCATTCAGTTAGAAATACACATTTCCAACGACACTTGTGGCTGCCTCATTGTCATCACCCATGAAAGAGTCCGACCAGCTGTCCGCCACATACCTACACATAGGTACCGTGACGCGCCAGACACGCGATTATCTACTGTTCAACCTTCTCTTATTTGCTCCTTGCCATGCCGCCCCAGTCCTCCGCAGAGGCTGGCTCTTGGCCCACCCTCCCACTCGTAAATTCGACGCGTCCTGACGTCGAAATGGTCCTCACAGGGCCACCTAACCACCACTACAACAACACATAAGCAAACGCAGAACCGATCTGCGAGGCGAGCTGCCAATACTCGCCCCCAAACCCCCCCGAGTCAATGGGTGCTTCCTTGACTAACTTCCTCGCAGAAGAAGCGAGGGCGTTTAACATACGCTTTGCAGAGGCTGAGCGTATCGTCAGTGGGTACATTAACCTACTGGCGGCCACAACCGACAAACAGCTCCGACGAGCTGTCGAAAAGAATGGAGAGGCTTCATAGGCCATTATCATAAACATCCTGCGCGGAAACCCCGAGCCCCAATCCAGTGGGCCATCAGAGGCTGCCAGTAGCAGCAAGACGACAACCCTCCCTGCGTCGGCTACTAGGCCGGGAGGAAAGAATAGCGCGAGTACTTCACGACCAGTGCAAATACTCACGAGAGAAAGTAGCCAGGCGAAAGGCAAAGAGCCGGCTTCAACAAAGCCTACTAGGCCAATCGACATCGATTCTATACAAACCCCCATCGTTACTGAGGGGTCTTGGACTCAGGTAGTGAGGAAAAAGACTAAGCCCGCACCACCAGCAGCGACAAAATCGCAACCAGCCAGCGAGCCTAAGTCAAAAGCGACAGGGCCCACACAAACTCCGAGGCCTACTGCCTCAGCTCCCAAGTTAGCTCGCCCAGACGAGCGTGTTTTCCTGCGGGTCAAGCCCGACCACCCATGGAGACGCATGTCTCCCCATTACATCAAAATGAGCCTCGCAAGCAAGCTGCGCCTAGCTAACTCTGCAATTAAGCAGGTTACCATCGTCAACTCAGGGTTTGCGATACTAGCTGAAGGAGACGGAGCAAGAAACGCGCTCCTCTCAGGCGCCGTACTCCTGGAGAGCACGGAAATTAAACTGGAAGCTGCTTCCAACTGGATCTCAGTGTTAGCGCCTAATACGCCAGACAGACTCTTCACTTTAGAAGGACCAACGCCAGTAACACCGGAGATGGTAATGGAGGAAGCGACCTTAAAGACAGGCGTTAGACCGACCTCGGCTCGTGCCTTTGCGACAAGCATGGCTAGGCCGTCCACCGACTGGGTGTTGCATTTTGCAACCGGCAAGCCAAAGCTGGGAGAAAGACTTTTCGAAGAGAGCGGTCGCTTACACGAACTTCAGCGTAAAGCCAAGATTGAGCACAAGGCTACTGAGTGCAAACAGCTCGTCCCAAGGTGCATCAATTGCCATGAGCCACATGCCGCAACCGAGCCTAACTGCATGGCCAGGCCGACGCGGGCCGGCGGAAAGACTGTGCAACGCACAAGAGACCAGCTGTCGGTGATCCGGGAACAAGGTCAAAAAGAAAGAAACGCTTCGATCCGAGAGTTGGAAGCAAAGCAGAAAGCCGCTGAGGCGACTGCTGAAAACGAAACTACAAACGTTGCTCAATGCCCGTAAGGGACCACAACCTTACCGAGCTACACACAACGGCAACAACGATCTTGTTACTCTGCGCTAATTTGGGCAGAGGAGACCCCGCTACAGACATCATCCTGCAATCCGCCTGGGATTCAGGAACCGATGTCCTACTCATCCAGGAACCCTGCACTCAACACAAGGACGGCTTCTGGCTCACCAAGTCGCATCCCGGGTTCGACAAGCACTTGCCCCCCCATGTCACAGCCAACCCCGCAAGGCCACGCTCCCTCATTTATACGTGAAAAGGGACCAAGTGTCTACAACTAGCAATCTGCGAGGCATCACCAGATCTTACCGCCGTAAAGGTTGAAGGAGTCACGTTTGTCTCTGTGTATCGCGCTCCTGGAGCAGACCTTTCGCCGCTCCTATCATTGGCCCCGTCTGGGCCCACAGTAGTTGGCGGAGATTTCAATGCCGTCCACCCTGACTGGCAGCCCATGGCCACCAGGCTACACGGTGACGGCCAAGTGCTCGCCAAATGGATGTCCGAGCACGGTATGGACCTATCTTCGACCCCGGGCGTCCCGACTCACGATCTTGGAAACACACTCGACCTAGTTTGGTCTAATGCGGGAGCCCTTGCAGATGTCTCGATAGAGCTTGACTCGACATCGGACCACAGAACTCTTGCAGGAGACGTCCCCCGTCCGAACTCGAAAGCTAGAGCTGTTATCAAAACAGGCCAACCGTTTCGAGTGACAGACGACGCCCTCGAAGACTTTGCAAAGGTGCTAGGTCGTTGGGCTCAAGGAATAGAGCTACAGCCGATGGTTTCAGTAGACGCGGTGGACAACCTTGCTGATAAGCTGGTCCAAACTATTAGCAACGCAATCAGGGCCACTGGTAGACGCGGGAGTGTCAAGAAGGGTAGGACAGCACCTTGATGGACGTCGGAGTGCCTACAGGCCAAACGCGAATATAGGATACTCAGGGACGAAGAGAGCAGAAAGGATTTCCGTCGCATAGTCAAAAGTGCCAAACGCCAATTCTGGCGGCGAAAGTTCTCCGAAGCAACAACCGACGCCGACATGTATCGGATAGCACGCTGGGCTAAGCCGCAACCTACATCAGCTGCTCCACCACTCCAAACTCTAGATGGTCTTGTTTCGGATCCAGGAAAGCGAGCAACTCTGTTGCGCGACCTCCTTCTCGGCCGGCTCACCAGTCAGAACGACGTCGACGCTGAGGACTTCGAGCCAGGACGCGGAAACCTCCCATGGGTCTCGAGCGTTACGGACGAGGAAGCCAAGTGGGTTACAACGGCCTGCCAAAATAAAGCCCTTGGAGCAGACGCGATTTCTGTTCGTCTTCTTAGGACAGCCTGGCCATCAATTGGTCACGCAGTGAGAGTACTCTTCGAGGGCTCACTTCGACTGAACCACTTTGCGAAGGCCTTTAAGCTAGCGGAAGTAATCCTTCTCCCCAAACCCGGCCGTAACCTCAGTACAGCTAAAGGATGGAGGCCTATCGCACTTCTCTCCTCCCTGGGTAAAGGTCTTGAGAGACTGATTGCAAGGCGAATGGCTTACACCGCCCTCACCTACAAGGCAGTCCCGCAGCAACTCTTTGGAGCACTCACTGGCAGGTCTGCCAACGACCTCGTCTCATGCGTCATCCACGATGTAGAACATGCAATGAAACGGCAGAAGAAAGCAGTCCTAGTCACTTTGGACGTTCAGGGTGCATTCGATGCTGTACTCCACGGACGGCTGCTGCAGAGGATGAACAAGATGGGGTGGCCTAAACCAGCTATCACCTG